AATGTTTCATGATCTCCTGAAAAGAATGTGAATTTTGAAATTTTTAGACAAAATGATCTTTAGATGTCTTTTAAGTCCATTTGTCTATATTGTAGTTTAACTCTGATATTTCTTTGTTGATTTTTTTTGTCTAGATGACTTATCTATTGGTAAGAGTAGGATATTAAAGTCACCCACTATTATTTTATTGGAGCCTATCTGTCCTGTTATGACCAATATTGTTTGTTTTATGAAATTGAATGTACCAATGTTCAATACATATACATCTACAATTGTTATATCTTTTGGGTGAATTGTTTCCTTTACCAATATGTAGTGATCTTCTTTGTCTCCTTTAATTAATTTTGTCTTGAAATTTGCTTTGTCAGATTTGAGTTTATGTACTCCTGCTTACTTTTGGATACCATTTACTTGAAATATCATGTTTCATCCTTTCACTTTCAGTCTATATATGTCTTTGCAGATGAAGTATAAAATGATATCATGTCATTTGTAGCAAAATGGAATTAGAGATCATCATATTAAGGAAATTGGAGATCATCATGTTAAGGAAAATAAGACAGACTTAAAAAGACAAGTATTCTGTGTAGGTAATAATGGAAATGGAAATAAATTAACATGTATTCTAGATTATATTCAAATTTGTAATGATATATTATCTTTTCTATATATACTAGAATTAGGGAAGAAAAATTTAAAAAAAAATTTTTCCTGGGGTTGACTTTTTCATCAAGACAAGGTTTAAGTAAGTAAGAGACAGGCCGGGGATTTAGCTCAGTGGTTCCGGCGCCTGCCTCGCAAGCGCAAGGACCTCAGTTCGATCCAAGGTACTAAAAAAAAAAAGAAGAAAACAAAATTAAATAAGAGATTAGCTGTGGGAAAAAGAAAAACAAAGATCCATTGAAACTGAAGGAAAACAAAGATATTTACAATCAAAGTCCAGAAAATAATGAAGAAATAATTTTTTCAGGATAAGTAAAATTATCCTAGGGAAAAACAATAACAACAACAACAAAAGCTAGAAAGGATGGGGGCAAGTTCATTGATAAATATATGCGTAAATCTAAAAGAGTATTGTTGGACAAATAATGTTAGTAAGATCTCTGGAACTTAAATTACCTGTAGAATTAGAGCACGTGACAACATAACATAAAAACTGGAAAATATTACAAAAACTTGAACTTTTAAATAAAGTAAAAACATTTTAATGTCCTAGAGAAATGATAAAAGAACTGATTTACATTGGCTTATAAAAATTGAGGTTGTATAATATAATCCTTTTTTTTTTTGGTACCGGGGATCAAACTCAGGACCTTGTCCGTGCAAGGCAGGTGCCAGAACCACTGAGGTAAATCCCTGGTCCTTGTATAATATAATCTTTATGAGAACATTAAGAGAAAGCTAGAGAAAAGTATAATCAAGCTAATGATGATTAAATAGTATAACAAAATTTAATATATCAATAAGAAAATTAAAAAACAACAGAATAATTTAAAAATAGAATAATGTCTAGTATAATAAAATGATAGGGCTAATCCAAAATATATAAGTAAATGAACTAAATACTTCATTTTAAAGAAAAATATTATCAGATTAAATATATTTTAAAATAAATTTTTATTTAAATTTTTAAAATAAATTTTTTATAAGAAATGCACATTAAAAGTAAGAAATCAGAAAGTTGAAAATCAAAAGATATAAAATGTCTACTGTGAAAATGTTCGCCAAAGCTCTATGATATAGGGAATTCAAACTCCAAGACAATAAGACAAATAAAACTTGTCTATAGATAGAATTCTTTTAAATTATAGAAGGCCAATACATCAAGACTTAACATGCCTCAATTTCTGCATACCTAATAAAATAGAATTAAAACACAAAATAAAAACTAGTAAAACTGAAATGAGAAATCTTTTTTTTTTTTGGTACCGGGGATCAAACTGGGGACCTTGTGCTTTCGAGGCAGGCAGAGGAACCACTGAGCTAAATCCCCAGCCTGAGAAATCTTTTTAAAAGCATGGAGACAATCAAAAATACTTCTCTTAGTAATTGACAAGAAAATAATCAAACACAAAATCAGTATATCTATGAATTTATTAAAAACAAAAGCAAAATTCCACTCCATTGACATATATGGAACAGTAAAACCGACACTGAGAAAGTCAAATTTTTCCAAAGATAAAAGTATATATCCCAATAAAACACACGTTTGTTAAATCAATAACTAAAAATATAAAAACTTAGAAAATTTCCCTAATGATTAAAGCTTTAAAAAGAAATTCTATAATGATTCAGAATGCATAAAAGGCATCAAAATGGATATTATAAATTTTGTTGAAATAAATGATAGTGAAAATCCAAAGTATACAAATATGTAAAAGCTGCTAGAGGCGCACACCTGTAACCCTAGGACTCTGGGAGCCTGAGGCAGGAAGGTCACAAGTTCGAACCCAGCCTAGGAAGCTTAGTGGCTTAGGGAGACCCTGTCTCAAAGTAAAACAATAAAGAGGGGCTGGGGACTTGGAGCTCAGTGTGAAGGCCCTGGGTTTAATCTTCTGCACAAAGAAACAAGTCACAAACAAAAATTGGGGGGATGAAATTAAAGTTGTACTCAGTCAGAAATTTGTATCCTCGATGTCATATATTAAAAACCCATGACCTGCCCACTTGCAAGCAGGAGACAGAGACGGTGAGGACCCCCCGCCCGCGGGCACGCCCAGCAGCCCCAGCTTAGCCTCACTAGGCAGAGTGGTCTGGGGCTGACTGCAACCTGCCCCCTCGGGCTTGCTCCGCCCACTTGTAACCAGGAGATGGAGAGGAACTGAACAACAGAGAGAGGGCCTCTCTCAGGCTCCCTGATGAAAACTAGCCCACTAAAAAAGTGAAGAGAATCTCTGCAATAAAGGCACACCAGACCACTGTGCTTGGTAAGCTGGAGGGATCATCACCTCCCATCGGAACCTGGACTATCTTCAGGGGAAGGACAGCTGGAACCTTCAATAGAACCCTGCACAGTTCAACCTTGCATGAGGACAGAGAGCTCAACTGGGGACTTGCAGCCAGAAATCTGCCTGAATCTCAAGGGTCTGTGACTGACTCACTGAGACTCATTGACTTATAACTGCACACTGCTGCCCACATTCTCTATTGTGACAGCAGAGACATACCCTGAAGGAGGCCCTTCATTTGTATCTTCTATTTGTTATTTTCAAAATTACCACTATTTTTTTTGCTCTTGTTCTTAATTTTTTTTAATTTTCTATGTAAACAGGGAAGGGTGGGAGGTGGTGAAGGGCACACAGGTAAAGGGGAAAAAAAATAACTAAGATACATCATGTTCAGGTACAAGCACCCAATGATAAATGTAAACATACTGTATACCTAAAATGTACTAATAGAAGAACTTAAGGAAAAAAAATTTTTAAATAAAAAATAATTAAATAAAATTAAAACCCATAAAAGCCAAATTGTAACCTAGATATCCATTTAAACAAGAAAATGAATAATAAAATAACCTCAATAAAAGATGAAATGATGAAGAGAGGAGCATAAATTTAGTCAAATACAAAGTAACATTTGATAAAATAATCAGCAAATGTAAATATTGGTTCTACGAAAAACTAACAAAGTACACAGACTACTTTTATCAGTTATTGACGAATAAGGTTTATAGAAAAATCTTCCATGAAAAAAGAGATACATGTTAAAAGCAGTAATAACAAAAGATCCATCACTAAAAACATTAAAATGAGAGTAAAAAGATGTTGAGAATCAATTTATGCCAACTATTTTGACAACTTAGATAAAAGGGATAAATTCTTTAAAAAAAGCCTCCCTACCAAAACTGAGAAGAGTGACAACTTAATATCTATTAAACAAATTGAAGCTGTCATTAAAATCCTTCCACAAAAAAACCTCAGGAGCTAGCTGGCTTTCTTTATGAGTTATTAACAATTATTAAGAAAGAAATCAAAATATCACAAATTCCAGATAATTGAAAAGGAGAAAACACTTCTCAACTCATTAACTCATTGTATAAGGTTGGCAGAAGTTTTATACCGAAACTAAAAAGAAAGCAAAGGACCGATCACTCTCATGAAAATCAGTAGCAAAACTCCTCAGTAGAATACTAGCAAATAAAACCTGCCAACATGTAATGAGCCTAATTCATCACAACCATGCAAGATTTCTTAACAGAATATAATAATGCTTTAACACTCGAAAAGAAGCAATATAATTCACTTACTGTACAGGAAAAAAGTAATCAGCATCTGATTATTCCAACAGATATTGATACAATTAAACACACACTGAAGATTATTTTTTAAATACTTGTCTCAAACTAGAAATAGAATGTTTCTTTATCTTTAACCTAATTTTTTTTTGGTACTTGGGATCTAACTCGGGACCTCGCGCTTGTGAGGCAGGCGGCAGCACCACTGAGCTAAATCCCCGGCCCCCTAACTTTTAAAAAAGTGCTCATAATACCACACTTAATGATGCATTATTGAAACAAGTCAGAATTGGAAACAAAGAAACATTTTCTTATTATTTACAGATACGTTCTTTGCTTTCTGAGAATATTGGTAAACATGGTGACCTCTAGCAGGCTTCCTTGCTAAGAAGGCATTGAGTTGCTTCATTTTTCCATATTAGGGAGGCCATTTCTCTGTTCCCCTATTGTACTCATGTTTTCTATTGTAGTACCACTTAGACTGAGTGATAATTGTTAACATGCTGTCCTATACTACTTTGCTTACACATCTGATAGCCTAAACAACAAACTAGTACCTAATTCATGGTTTCCACTTAGTAAGTATTTATTGGAGTAAATTGGACTACAGTTATTCATAATGTAGAGGAAAGAATACAAGCCAGTGATTAAATAGAAATACTAATAAATAGCAGAAATGCAAGTTAAACATTATATTAATGTCATATTGACTCCAATGACATTTTATTTCATTACATAGATGCAAATTTAGTAATGCTGTACATACCTAAACACAATGGTGGTGTGGTCCACACTCCGTCTATGCAATGGGCCTCCTTAGATCCTTGTAGGAAATAGTGATCAAAACATCTGTATTCTACAGAGGAACCATTCTCATAGGTGCCTACTTTTGAACTAATAATGACTCCATTCTTTATAAGTGGAGGAGATGCACATATTCCTTTAGATTCTAAAAAAATGATTTTAAAGTCTATAATGAATTGCATCAAGTTTTTAAATAATTGTTACAGAAATAAAATGAGGTAGTTCACTGTGCTAAAGGCATTTATACCAATTCTCACATATTTTATATATTGGAAATATGTCCGCAATAATGTCATGCTATACAAGTTATTATTAGAATTCCATGTTACAAAATTTAAGTACACATTTACAACTATCAAATACTACCACTGCTTTATCTTTCCCTTTCCATCTAGAGAAGAGTGAAAGTGTATGAGATCTCTCTTAACTCTTGCATTCCATATGTATTATCTTCCTTTTTTAAAATTAAAAGTAATAGTTCAAGGCCAGCCTGAGCTACACAGCAAGGCTCTGTCTCAAAAACAAAATAAAAACAAATAAAAAGTAATAATCTCTGTAACCAAGGAGTATACAAGATCTCTCACTTCTGCATCAAGCTGCTTTCTGAGACAATGGTCCAGCAAAGCCTAAGTAGTGATGCTTTGCAGAGTTGTTGAGTGTTAACATGAAGATAATCAATCCTCTAATAGTCTGATGATATTTATAAAACCTCTTGACTTTTCTCCTTCATATAACTGACTTTTTGGAATTAAAATATAGCGGCCTAGTCTTCTCATTGAAGTGAAGTTTCTCACTGAAAGTTGGATCACTCCCAATTTACAGATACGAGGAAAGAAGATGAAAAACTGCTTAGATGGTTAATATCTATTAATGGGGAATTGCTAAAAAGTATTCTGATTTTACCTTTTCTAACACATAAAGGATATTTCACTTCTCCTCTATTGCACTGCACCGAAAACCCTGACAATGGAGTCGATGGAGACAAATCATATCCTTGTTTACAGACAAAGTCGATCAAGTCTCCATGTAAGACCTTTCCTTCATATTTCCATTTCATCTCTATGTTATTTCTGTCCATATAATCCACATCAACAGTGCATGGCTCTGAAAAACAAAATTTTCTCTTACATTCTTTGCTCATATGATAAATATGAAAGTGACATTTGCCAGAGATTTAGCTCAGTGGTTTCGCTGCCTGCAGCACAAGCGCAAGGACTCGAGTTCGATCCCCAGTACCAAAAAAAAAAAAAAAAAAGTGACATTTTAAAAATAAAAATTAGAACAAACATCAAAAAATGATATTTTATATTTGACATCATTATTAGGGTTCCTCACAGATATAGATAATAAAATAATACCTTATTGCTATCAAATGAATGAATTTATACATTTCTTACTATTTTCATTATGTCATAGATTAAAATAAATTAATTTGAACCATTAAAATTAATGTTTAAGACCATAAACCAGTTAAGTTAACCATGATTTACTTTTGGTAAAATAATACGCTTGAAACGGAAGATTACTTAATGTACAAATTTATAGAAAACTGTCCACTCAGTATATATCAATGGATAAGCAAAGACCTATGACCTCATAACTTGCCCTCTAGCTGAAATTCCACAATAAATAATGAAATAAATATATGAATTTTATAATTTGAGAACATCTTTAAACTATAGCATATGAAAAATAACATTTAAAAAAGAGTGGTGGTGAGGAAGGAGTTGGCAAAGGACAGTTTCCTTTTAAGAAAAATCAGTGGGATGAGCCTAAATAAGGAGCATTTGCACCGAAACTTGAAGAAGGTTAAGGAGTAAGCCATATCATTTCCTCTGGCAGAAGAAACACCCAACATGAAGAGCCAGAGGTAAGAGCAAGCTTGGCTTGTTTGAGGAAGAGTCAGGCGACCAGAAGGGCTGGAGCAGTCAGAGCAGGCAGGATGAGCAGGCAGAGGTTGGAAAGCCTCGTGTCAGCAGTAATAATTCGGGTAGAAAATTCTACTCCTTTTCCCAATGTTGTTACCCAAATCTGTAGCGATTCCATTCTCAATCCCAACAGATAAGCAAGATATGAAATCTCTCTCCCTTGCCCTGATGACAGTGACTGACTTCGGCATTTTCTTTGGTGCCACACCTAAAAGCCTTGGAGTAACTGCTTCAGATGAGGATCAGCAGATTTCTTTGAAACTTGTCACTCAGCAAGAGAGTGTTTCATTACTACCTTTCCCATCACTATTTTAATCTACTCTGTTGTCAGGGTGACTACAATTCTATTACATAAAATATCAATCCTATCTTAATCACATCATAAAATATCAAGGACTTTAAAGAAAATATGAGAGCAACAGAAAAAGTACAGATGAAGATGTATTTGAATTTGAATGGAAACAGCACACTAAGAATTAATTACTTGGAAAGGAGAAACTGTAAAACGAAAGTTAAAAGAGCTTAAGAGTCAAGACATAAATTGATTTATATTTTTAAAAACATAAATAAAAATTAAAAATAGTTACAATATATATAATTCCCAAATGCATAATATAATTCATATATAAAGCTTTTATGAGTATGGGGAAATGGCTAAACTATCAATCATTCATGGAAAAAAATACATTGCCACTAAAACACTGGAAAATAACAAACTGATTATAAATAAATCATTTCCTGATTAGATTAATAGAATGTGAAGATTAAAATGTTCACTTTTTAAATTTTTTTAAGACAGGGCTTGGCTACGTAGTTCAGGCTGGCCTTGAACTTGCAGCAACCTTCCTGCCTTAGCCTCCTAAGTGCTGGGATAATAAGCATGCACCACCACACCTGGAAAAAGCCCTTACTTTAATTTATGATGAGTTAAAAATAATAATAAACTTTTTGAAAAGCAATTTGGGAATTAACAAAAAAATTAAAATTCCAGATATCTTTGGCCTGGAAATTTTAATTCAAGAAATATGGAAAACAAGAAAACAAAACATTAGGTCCTGAGTTTGATCCCCAGTACAAAAAAAAAAGAAAACAAAACATGGACAAAATAAATATAATTAATTTTTTAAACTGAAAATAAAGATTTTAAATGCACAAATATTTAATTATAAAGCATATTGTTTGGAATGTAAAAAGGTTGCATTTTAAACATTCATCAGTAAAGTGATTATATTAATTATGGCATACCTGCACTATTAAATACTATGCAGCCATAAAAATATATAGGTAGAAGTAAGTTAAACAATGCTTATAACGCATTTTAAGTGGAAAAATAGCAAGACACTTATTTGTATAGTGTGCTAGCATTTTTGTGTTGTGTATGTAACAAATTAATTAGAAGACTTTCATCACAGTCATTAATTGTTTCAGATAAAGTTACTGAAATTTTCTGTTTTCTATTGCATCAATTATTAATATTTTGGTAAATAACAATGATTTGCTTTTGGACTTTAAAATTGCATTACTTTTAAGTGAATGGACATGTCAAAGTGAATATTTTATAGTTTAATTTATAGGAAGCTTAGGATGCATTGCCCACTTGTAAAAGTCATATTGTAACATGCTCATTTCAACTGTAATGAAGAGTTGCATTGCTTTTAAGTGCACCTCCAGCAAGGAAAGTCAAAAAAGGAGGCAAATTGGGCCGGGGATTTAGCTCAGTGGTTCTACTGCTTGCCTCCCAAACACAAGGTTCCGAGTTTGGTCCCTGATGCCAAAAAAAAAAAAAAAAGAAATAAAGAAAAAAAGGAGGTAAATCTATTGGTTTGAGACCAAAAAATAAATAATATTTGCTCAAGGTTTTCTGAGTGTTTTGATAACTGCCTCGATTCTCCACCTGAAATATGAATGTTCATTATGCCATGCCTTAACCCAAAATACACTAAGAGTAGCTGTAAACATTTATATGCTATCAACAATATGTAACAAAGATGATCATTTGGGTGGAAATGAAGTTGCAGCAAAGCTAATAGCAATGTGTTCTACAAAGGAAAGAACTGGGCTGATTAGTCTTCTCTCCAAATGACATTGTAAGGGGAATACAAGCAGACTCATTGAGAACTATAGTTGGGGAAAGTTTCCAGTTTGGGGAAAAATATGAAAATTAACTGGTCACAAAAATTTGAATGTACTTGATGCTATTAAATCATGCACCTAAAATGTTCAAATTGTAAATTCTATGCTATGTATATTTCCCTAAAAATTAATGGAGTAAGAACTAATATAGCCCCAGGCACTAAGATATTAAAGATTTTCTACTTACATAAATGAGTAGTGAAACATTTGAGAAAAAAAGATTTATACAAATTGTGTCTATGCTATAAATACTATAAGAAAGTCACATACAAATACAGCATAATAGAAAAAGAAATTCAGTGTGTTCTCTCTTACCCAAGCAAACAGGTGGGGATGACCATTTTCCTTGTTCACACTGAGATATTTTTGATCCTTTCAATAAATAATATTCATTGCATTTATATTCCACTGAGGATCCTGTTGTATAACTTGACAATAACCCATCAATAACAGCCCCATTTGTTACTTCAGGTGGAGGGTTACAATTCTCATTATTTTCTAAGAAAGGAGATTATTTTCAAATTAATATGAACCTATAACAGGATATAATAATATAACAGTACCCCAAAATATGGTATCTTAATACTTATATGATATAATTCAGGCAATTGATTTCTATTCTAAATTCATCATAAATTTTAAAAATGTTCAGCTTGGGTACTTTTTAAAAATTTACTAAACAACAATACAGAGCAAGAACATGTATGCATATTTTTGCCCTCTCTTGATTGTGAAGGAATTATAATAAAGACATTCTTAAAATGCATAGAAAGAAAATTATATTCTTCGGTGGAATAGACTAGAAGATGCAGAAACAACTCCCAACACACTCAGCCACCTCATCTTTGACAAAGGAGCCAACCATCTTCACTGGAGAAAAGATAGCCTCTTTAATAAATGGTGTTGGAAAAACTGGATTTCAACTTGCCAAAGATTAAAACTAGACCCCTATCTTTCACCATGCACTAAACTAAAATCGAAGTGGATTGAAGATCTACATATTAAAAGAGAAATGCTAAACTTGCTGGAAGATAAGTTAGGTAGAACTCTTGAAGACATTGGCATAGGAAAAAACTTTATGAACAAATCCTCAGTAGCACAGGAATTAGCACAAAGAATCAATAACTGGGATCTCATCTTATTAAAAAGTTTTTGCACTGCAAGTGAAACCACCAACAGTGTAAAGAGACAATATACTATGTTGGAAAAAAATTTTACCAGCTGTTTCTCAGACAAAGGTCTACTATCTAAAATAAATAAAGAACTCAAAAAAATCAGACCTCCCAAATATAAAGAACCAGTTCAGGAATGGACATCTGAAATGAACAGACATTTCTCAGACAAAGAAGTAAAAGCAGCAAATAAATATATGAAAAAATATTCAACATCACTGGTCATTGGAGAGATGCAGATCAAGACAATGCTGAGATTCCACCTCACCGCAGTAAGAATGGCTGCTATCAAGAAATCAACCAATAACAAATGCTGGAGGGGTTGTGGGGAGAAAGAAACCCTTCTTCATTGTTGGCAGGAGTACAAACTGGTGCAACCACTATAGAAATCGATATGGAGATACCTCAAACAACTAGGGTTGGAAGTCTCATTTGACCCAGCTATCCTTCTGCTGGGTATCTTTCCAAAAGAATTAAAAGAATCACACCACAGTGATATATGTGCACCCATGTTTATAGCGGCACAGTCTGTAATAGCTAAAGCTTGGAAACAGCCCAATTGTCCATCAACTGGAGACTGGATAAAGAAGATGTGGTTTTTCTATAAAATAGAGTACTATTCAGCCATAAAGAACAAGAAACTAGAGACATCTATAGCTAAGTGGATGCACATTGAGGCCATACTCTTAAGTGAAATAAATTGGACACACATGTAAATACTGAATAGTTTCTCTGGTATGAAAAACTAAAAGTGCGAATAAGGATCAAAATGTATAATTCATATTGTGAAATAGGAAGAAAAGGTCTAAAAGAGTAGGGGAAGTGGGAGGGGTAGGGGAAAGAAAAGAAGGGAAAAGAAAAAAATACGAAAAAAGGAAAAAAATGGAAACAAAGTCTTTGTAAATACGGAAGGGTGAAGGGAGTGAAGGAAGAACAGGGGAATGGGGAAAAAATAAGAACCAAGATACATCATGTAAAGGTACAAGATCCCAATGATGAATGTAACTGTATTGTATACCTAAAATGTACCATTAAACTTAATGAAAAAAAAGAAAATTATGTTCTTTAACTTATAGATTATGATCAATTCTAAAACTTCCCTTTGGCATTATCCACTTTTCTTCCTTCTCATTTCTCTTCATCTCAGTTCTCCTTTAACTCATTGATAAAAATATCAATTTTGTTCTCTAGAATCATTCTCATCTTCTGCTAATTTATTTGGCACTCTTCATATCTTTTGTCCTATACAGTTAATATTTGGGGTAAACACGTTTGTGGAACTCTCTTCAATATTGGATCAACAGTGAGAAGGAGGGCAGGAAGGTACCACTCAAGACTGATTGTGTGGCCTGGTGGTTCCCTTCAGCAAAATTGGAGAACCAGGAAATGCTTCAGAGGGGTACAGGGTTCAGAATGGCAAGATGCACAGTGGTATCAGCAGAACTTATACAAAATCAACAACATAGTGCTCTTTCCTAAAGTGTGGGACATACAGGCACAGGAAGTGGATCATGCACATGGCCAATCATTCAATTCAACCTGCCTTTATTTGCTCCTCTAATGAAGCACAGCCTGAGTTAATGCACAGTCATTAGAACTCACGGGCTATGGTGCTTACATTATTTTTACCTTCCTAATTATTTACATTCACTTAAATTCTACAGATAGCTCCATACACCCAAACAAGTAGCAGAGTAGATAAAGTAGAGAAGTGTTTCTAACTTTTGTAAGCAGTGGCCTCTGTCCATGAGTATGTAGATAAAATAAACACTATAAAAAATTTTGCCCTATAGGGTTAACCATTTATTGATGTTAATTGTAGTATACATACCAACGCACTCAGGGGGAAGGGTCCATTTTCCACGGTTACAAGTTATCTCATTTGATCCATGGAGTTGGAAGCCCCGTTCACATCTATATGTCACTTTATCCCCATTGTAATAAATCTTAGAGTGCAGGTTTGCTGTACCATTCTCAATGAAAGGTGGTTCCCCACAGGCGACCTTCTCCTTTTCTTCTGAAAAAGTACAATTTAAAGAGAAGAAAATACTTGGTTACATATGCAGATTTCATTTCAGGTAAAGTTTATTCAAGATGTTACCAACCAATGCATTTTGGAGGCTCTGTCCATTTTCCATTTTCACAATGTATTTCTTCTGAGCCCTGGATCCCAAAATTAAGTTCACATTCTATATGAATTATTTCACCATGACGATAACTTGTGGAATATTTTTGAACTTTGGAGTTTAGAGGCAGAGGTGGAGAAGGGCATCTATTTCTTCTTCCTTGTGGAAAAATATCAGTATGTTTAGACATGCAATTGCAAAAAGTAGAGATTTAATTAGATCATGATGTCGAGCACCACAGAAAGTGAGTCAGATTCTAGGAACAGCTCCATGACTCTCGGCTCCTAGAATTTACTTCCTTGTATAACATCCCTCTCCACGTGTGGGACTTTACTTGCTCCTAGTCAATAGTGTACAGTGAACATGATAAACTCATGATTGTGCAACATAAACTTGTAATGCCATCCTTGCTAAAAGGTTCTCTCTTCTTGCTGGTTTTGAAGAAGCAAGTGGCCACATTATGAGCTTCCAGATGAAGAAGGCTACTCGACAAGGGGCAGAGGGCTGTCACCAGCTGACAACCAGCTAGAAACTGAGACTCAAGTTCAACAGTCTGCAGAGCACTAAATGCTGCCAAGAGCCCCGGTTGAGTTTGGAAGATTAATTCCCAACCAAGCCTCCGGTGAGACTTCAAGTCCACCTTGATTGCAGCCTTGTTAGACTGTGATGCAGAGGAGCCAGTAGACTACTCTCAGACGCTATCCTAAATAAACTGAAATAAGGTACTGCTGTGACTTGAAGCTGCTGAGTGTGTGGTGTGCTGATGAAATAACAAAGAGGGTAATAAAACAGCATTTTATAGTCACCATCTTCTTTAAATAGCTTTCTTGAGTAGGCACTATTATCTCTTCCATGTTAAAAAGAAACTCAAAGCTCCAAAGTAAATTCATAACAGGTGACAAATCTGTTCCTGCACCCCTATCTATCTGAATTAAATTCCATTCTTAACTGTAAAATGCTGATTATATTAGTTTCCTATTGCCACTGTTAACAAATTACTACTATTTAGTGGCTTAAAACAGTACAAATTAATTCCCTTACAGTTCTGGAGTCCAAAAATCCAGAATCAGTTTCACTGAGCTAAAATCAAAATATCAGAAAAGCTGCATTACTTTTGGAAATTTTAAAGGAGAATCAGTTATTTTGACTTTTCTATCCATCACTTCTGTGAATATTATCACACACACACACACAAACACACACACACACACTAGTTAGAATCACTATTTATTTAAGCACTGTGTAGCTAATTTTATTGAACACACCCAATAATAAAAATACAACCTTAACTATTGCATTTAGAATAGCGTTTATTAGATGATTTCCTTTTCCATTTTCACTTCTGGGTAATTCTTCTGCTTTTTAAGTTCCTTATCGTACTATTTTGGAATTTGAAATTTTACTTCAGGAAGTATGTGTCCAATTAAGAAAGTGTCCTCACAAAGCTACTAGCTTGGGGTAGTTAGATCTAATAATTCTAAAATTTATTTATTTATTTATTTATTTATTTATTTATTTATTCATTCATTCATTTTCTGGTACTGGGGATTGAACTAAGGATGTTGTGCTTGGCTGGGTAGGTGCAGCACCACTGAGCTATATCCCCAGCTCCAATTCCCAATTTTAAAAGCTATTAATTCTAATATGAGATTTTAAATTTACAACAGAGATTTTAAAGTACTAAATTTAGAAGATATGTCCACTGGCATTGATTAAAAGACATTTATTTTAAATGTAATACTTGAGACTAGAAATGGATATCACCCCACAGATATTTGTAAAAAACTCACAGAAATGAAAGTTGATCAAGATATGAGATTTATTGGTCTAGGTGTGAAATTTTAAAATTTACCTTCACATGCAGGAGATTCTGGATACCAGCCAAAGTTATAGCACTGAATTAAGTCAGGTCCACTCAGATAATAATTTTCATGACAGAAAAACTGAACTACATCTCCTTCCTCATAGGTTTGCTTCACAGGATGAAAATATCCATTTTCTATTAATCTTAAAGAAGAACACTTTAATTCTAAAAATGAAAGAATGAATAAAAATACAAAGAAGTATTTATTTTTCTTGCTAGAACAAAACTCATTATATGCCACATCCAGGAGAAAATAATACATGTCATATTCTGTTTTAACTAGTAAAAGCTTATGAATTAATTTTGTATATTAATATCAGGATTATTTTAATTTAATTCTGTGAACTAAAATGTATTTTTTCTATTTGAGAAGTTTAAGTGATCAAAGTCTACTATTAACATAATTAACACTAAAAACAAAAAATATGAAAATGTAATTAGTATGACAATTTATAAACACTTCTATATGAGAGAAATTTTTCAGATTGAAAGTAAGTTTTATTCAAAGTGAGAACCTACTGGTGCATTTTGGTGTTAGGGACCAACCGGATGTGCGGCATTCAACTTCCTCTGATTGCTTTCCTCTGGCTGTGTAGTAGCCAGCAACACATTCGTATCGCACTTTGTCCTTCACTTTGAATGTTTTCTGTTTTGTGGAATAATTTCCATTATGTAATTCAGGGGCTAAACATGTTTCTAAAAAAATTAAAGTCACTTATTTTATGAACTTCATCAACAGCCTAAAATACTGAAATACATTTTCACTGAATCTTAAGACTATATGGCAAAATTGACCCTTGGCAAAATTGAAAACTTGTCAGTTTGCTTTTGCCTCTATCTCTTTTTCATACTCCTGTGAGTTAATGTGATCAGTCTTCTATTCTTAAGATTCAGGTTTATTCATTGTACTTGACCAATGGCCACAATTCAAATAAATCTTAAGAAATAACAATTTTGATTACGTGGATTTGTACAATTCAAGTAACTTAAAATATTCTAACAAATTATTCTGCGATAAAGAAAATAGTGACATATATATAAAAGATATATATATCTTTCATTTTATTTTATTTCAATTCTTTTCTATTAATCCAAGTAGAAGCTACAGGAGTAGTTACAGGAGTTAAGAACCTATGGATAAGGAAAATACTTAGCATTTGAGAAAAACATTTTAACTTCCCATGTTTTCAGACAATGAAAATAAATTATGTTAAATACAAATGCTTAGCAATAGAAGAAAGTGCTAGCCTCACAGTTTGAGGAAATGATTCTTGCACACATACCATGTTCCTTTGTACAGGTGGGTTGAGAAGACCATCCATCATAAAGACACTGAATCACTTCTTCATCCTTCCCTCCAGTGGTTTTGTATCCTGAAGCACAACTATAACTCACATTCTCTTGAAATTTGTACAGTAATTTTACATCAGCAATGTAGCCATTTGTCAGTTCAGGCTTAGTGCATTTTTCTATGGGGGAGAAAATATTTCTTTGCTTAGCTTTATGGTGAAATTAAGCTCATCTTTTTACTAAGCGGTAAAATTAAGGCAAAAGGTAATATAACTCTGTTCGAATTTGAGATACATAATTCTTACTCCACAATTCCTTGGCCTAATTTTGAAAATATCTTTCATACCCTGCTTAAAATAGATTCAGTTTTCATTGGCTTTCTCTACATTTCCTTCCCTTATTATATCTACTTTTAGAAAATGAATGCACAGAGTATGGCCATACCACCCTGCACACACCAGATCTTGTCTGATCTCAGAAGTTAACCACGGTCAGGCCTGGTTAATATTTGGATGGGAGAAAATATATCCACAGTCCTTCCACTAATTGTCCTATTGGTAAATAGAAATTATTTCTTTTGGATCTAGTCCTTAATTTGGGGGGGGGGCGGGTACCGGGGATATCACACTCAGGTCCTTGAGCTTGCAAGGCAGGCAGCGGAGCCACTGAGCTAAAATCCCCAGTGCCTTAATATTTTAATGTATTTGATAATATAATAAAACAGAGTGTGCTAGGAGAGCGAGCTGATGCACCCGGGCCGCGGCGTCAGGAACTATGGTGCTTCCAAACATCCTGATCACTGGTACACCAGGAGTTGGAAAAACCGCACTAGGCAAAGAACTTGCAACCAGATCAGGACTAAAGTACATTAATGTGGTGATGTAGCTCGAGAAGGGGCATTATATAATGGCTACGATGAAGAGTATGAGTGTTCCATTTTAGATGAAGAAAAAGTATTTGATGAGTTAGAGAACCAAATGGCAGAAGGTGGAGTTATTGTTGACTACCATGGTTGTGATTTCTTTCCTGAACGATGGTTTCATGCAGTTTTTGTGTTGAGAACAGATAACAGTATATTGTACAAAAGACTTGACACAAGGGGTTATAATGAGAAGAAACTAGGAGACAGTATCTAGTGTGAGATTTTTCAAGTTCTTTATGAAGAGGCCATGTTATCATACAAGGAAGATATTGTGCACCAGCTGCCCAGCAATACGCCTGAAGAGCGAGAGGACAACATAAACCAGATCTTGAGATGGATTGAGCATTGGGTCAGAGCTCAAAACCCGTGCCTGCTCACTTGGTGGTGCCTCTTTGCCCACCTTGTATACCCGGGCTCCAAGTATCTGTAAAAACCAAAACATGTGGAAGGCCCAGCAGGTATTTTTATGCCTGGGTTTCTTTTTCTCCATGAGAAAGTTAAACAATCACAAATATAATGAATACAATTATTATTAAGCATTTAAAATATGCATCAGTTGCTAAACAATAAATCTGATAATATAATAAAACAATCCCACTTAATGAATCCTTAAATAATTCTACAAATATCTTACCTTAATATGAAAACTTTGTTCATATTTTTCAGCAAATAGTTTGGGTTCATCTAGCTGCACAAAACTCATAGTCCATGTAGAATGTGACTAAATAATATAAATCATATAAATCTGCATTTACAGATTTTTTTGGTAAATACTTGCAACAGTAATGCATGGAATAATAAAATTATTTTAGCTTCATATGGGACACTATCATTTCTTATAAGCCACATTATTGAAGCTTTATAACAAACCAATGCAGAAGTGTTATGAGACTTATCCAAAGCTGAAACTAATATATTAGATTAAATATATCCAGTACTTGCTGTGTGACATTATATGTTTGATTTCATTGAACCAGTATTGACCCCATTTTACAGATGAGAAAATTAGGCTCAGAATGTTTAAGTCATTTCCTCAGTGGCAGAGCAGACTTCGCAGATTGTCTTAAGCACATACTATCTACCATGTCAATCTCTTCTGGCTCCTACTTCACTGTTCTTTCTTCCAAGCCAAAATAGTTAATAATTACAAGGTTTAAGATTATTTCTATACTCATTATGAATGAGATTTATTTATTAGCATCAATCAGTTTTAATGTTAATACAAAAAGTGCAATGCCAATATTGTCTGTCCCAAAGTCATAGAATCCGAAATGTATGTGTTTACTAGATATGTTAATGATTCTCAACTTCTTCTTCAAAGGAAACTGACTCAAATAAGGTCCCTTACTCTGGAAAAGAGAGCTTAGAAAATTCTTAGCAAAAGAAAGCTTATGCAATGGAAGCCAATTAATAGTTTGACTGTAGCATACATAGCATGGTATAATGAACCTATCATAACACCATCTCAGAAATTTGAGGGCAAAATTCAGACAAACACATATTGCAATGCGAGAAAAATGGGCTTGCAAAACAGTGAGAAGTTTGCAAATGATGAAGCAGTGGAGTAACAATTGTGTCTTTACTGATTCCAGAGTCTTATGCATATTTCTGGCTTCCTAGGCAAAATAATGTATATAATAGGTTCTTCACTACCTAAAGTAACTCACTTGCATCTCCACCACATGCAATGTCATAAATGATTATTTCAGTTGTCATCCTTGTTCCCTTCATAGGATATTATTAAAAACGAATAAAACTTTTTTATATGGAAGCATTATTTACATAATTCCAGGTATAGAACTTTGTAAAAGACAATTTTGTTCTTATCTAACAAAAGGAATAAACATTTTACGTACTTTATATTACAATGAATTGTCCTCCTAGGAGCTAGTTCATTGCAGTACAGTACTAAGTCACTGCGTGGACAGAATGTGCTGACTTACTGAGGCACCTGGGTTCTGGAGTCCAGCCTTCTGTCGTACATCTCGTTCGCCCTTCATGTTTTCCACTTTCAGTTGTATAACCAGCCAAGCAGAAAAATGACAATTTTTTGTCTGTGCTCATTGGAAAGTAAAAACTTTTAAAAGTATAGTAATATTGGGCAATCCTTCCATTTTGCACAGTTGGAAAACCACAAGATTTCTCTGAAATGAGCAAAACTTAAGGTGAAAATGAAATTTCTGATGAAGAAACATCTGTAAAGAAACATTTGCAAGCACATCAAATCATACGTATTTTTATTATCTAAATATTTAAGGTACTTTTGTGACAACCAAACATTCCTTTACTTTTACCATTCTAACTAATCTGCTAGCAACCCTAAACAACCCTGACAAACAACCCTGGCAGGCTACTTCCTCAAGGAACATTTCCTTAACTTCTTAGACTAGCATTTTCTAACAGACATATAATGCAATATCCATATGTAATTTTGAATTTTCTAGGAGTGATATAATTAGAAGGAAACAATTGAAGTTAGTTTTAATAGGATTGATTTGATTCAACATATTAAATTATTTTCCATTCTGTTTATCTTACTCTCTAAAACCCAGAGTGGGTTTATATTACATATCTCAACTTGGGCTAACCACATTTCAAGTACTCAATAGAGTTGTCCCTCAGTATTGGCAGAGAATTGACTCTAAGACCTCCCTTTAGATACCAAAACCTAAGGATGCTTAAGTTTCTTATACAAAATGGTGTCATATTTGCACCTAATTCCACTTCACATTTACTTCAGATATTTAGAATACCTAATAATATGACTACACCTCAGTTTATTTGCATGGATTCAGTATTGTACTTGGCATGTGGCAACAAGTTTTGATATAAGGAACTTTCTGCAATGTTTACCCAAATATTTTCTATCTCCATTTGGTTGAAGCTGCACTTTGGAAACCATGAATAGAGAAGGCTGACTCTGTAGGTCATGTCCACTATATTGGATAGCACAGTTCTAGAGGAGATGCAGTTCTCTTTCAGATATCCAAACTCACAGATTGTGAACAAAAACAAAAATGGCTTTTGTTTTTCTTCTAAGAAAAAGCAGACAACCAATTAAAACACTTGGGTAAGAACTTAAAAAACAGGATAAAGTGTCCCTTACTAGTCATGAAGGAACTACACATTTAAACCACCAAGACATAGTACAGCAAATCTACAAAAATTGCTGAAATAAAAGGTCAGACTATCTCAATGATTGGTGAAGATATGAAGAAAGAGATCCTCTCATACTATTATAGGCAGCTAAGATATAAATTAACATACAGTCAGAGAGGGACTGTCAAGGAAGCCAGAGGAAAAATAAAGACATTAAAAATGTGATTGGAGGTGCATCTGCCGAAGGCCAGTCTCAAGATAAAGATGGAAAGACCAGGCCTACACGGCTCCCTGAGGGCTAAGCAACGACTTGAAATTATACTGTAATTTGTATCATCTAGTCCAGTAAAGTCCAGATAGGCATCAGTTGCCCAGGTGTGTGACCACAGCATCTGGACTCATCCCTTCCCCAAAATGCCTTTGCTCTTTCCATGTACCCTTGCTATGTGACCTGCTTCCCCACAGGACAAATATTAGCTGAGCAGCTATACTTATAATCCTATAGGCTGATTATAGTTTGACTCATGTTTTACCCACATTGTGTCTTTGCTGTATAAATTACCCCGAGAAACAGCCTCTGTGGCAACTCTAGGATCCCTCCCATCTCTCAGGAGCTATTCCTGTTCCCCAATAAAACTTTCCTACTCCTAACTTCCACTGTCCTTTGGAATACATTTTATGATTTCAGGGGACACAAACTTGGCATATCTGACATGTAGCAGGTTGGGGATTATATTTTCCCCTATAACAATACTACTTTTATGTGAGAGTACAAATTGGTGTTGTGGGAAAATGTAACAGTAATATTTATTAAAGCAGAGTATATATCGTATTAGCCAACTGAAAAGGATACAATTGTGAACCGTAAAATAATGTCCATATCAGCATTATTCATAGAGTCCCAAATTGTAAAAAAAAAAAATGCCCATTAATGGCGAAAAAGATAAACATATTTTAGACTATGCATACAACAGAATATTATGCAGCACACAGAGATGAATTCCACAAGCATCATACTGAAAGAAGCCAGCCACATGTAAGTTATCATATGCATTTAGGTACCTTTCTAAAAGAGGACTAGCCCATAGTAATGAAGTCAGAATAGTTAACTTTGGGGTTCGGTTTCTGAGAGTGGTCATTTGGAAGGTGTCTGGGGTGCTGTTATGTTCTCTATCTTGATCTGGGAGGTGAAAATTGGGTTAAAATTCATACAAATTTATTTCCTTGCATTTGCAGCATGGATTATATTGCAAGTAAAATGTTTATTTAAAAAATCTGTATGTTGGAGGTCTTTAATAAAAATGCTTACACAAAACAAAACCTTTGCAATCCTTAGTAGCTGTGTTGAAAAGAAACAGTAGTCATGGGTGTGGGAAGCTCTGAAAGCAGTAGGATTACTCTGGTTTCAGTGCCCCATTTGAGCACTGTCTACCTGAATGCTAGTCTCAGGCTTGAAATAATAATAGCATCAGGCCAAGACTGAGGAAAATGGGCACAGAAGATGAGTAACATACAACTGCAAGCACCTAAGAGACCAGGAGAGCAGACAGAAATATGTGCAGGAGAGTGCCCATGTGCTGAGAATCCTTCTCACTATTACCCAAGGACCAGAAATTCACAATGAGAAGAGACTCTTCAAAATTAGCAATGCTGTAGGGAATACACTGAATGTTCCTTGAGGTTCTCTTGCCAGACATAAAAGGGAAGCAGATGGGTGGGCTATATCCTGTGCCATGGCTTCAAACATGCCCTGTCCGGGGACTCATTCCCTCTCCATCACCAGGAGAGACACAGCACTTGTCAAGGTAGCTGACATATCATGCAGAATATGAATTCATTAGAAAATAATAGTAAGTGGGCCGAGGATTTAGCTCAGAGGCACTGCGCCTGCCTTGCAAGTGCAAGGTCCTGAGTTCAATCCATGGTACCCCCCCAAAAAGGAAAAAAATAGTAAGAAATATGAAGAGCTCAGCTACAGTAACAGAAGGTGAACAAATGACAATAAAATCAGATTTATAGCACACTTAACAAATAGGTGGAGAATTCCAAGCTCACATAATGGATATCCTTGAATAGATAATGGAAGAGACTGGTATTATAGACCAGAAATAAAGGGCTAAGAGAATAAACAAAGAAATATTCTGAGCATAAAAATATAACACACATAGAGAAGGAAAATAGAAGAATGATTTTAGCCAAAGATCTAATCAGTAAAAAACCGAAAACTTAATTTTGACATTAAGGTTCCCAAAACACACAATTCCAGAGGCAACAATCAGACAGTGTGATTCAGAGGTACAGGGAAAAAGCAGAAACCAGAAACCATATGGCAAAATTTTATGAATTGTATTATATCAAAATTAATTATTTATTTCAATGAAAATCACAGTCCACAAAGCATTATAGTACTTTGAAAGAAAAAAAAAGTGCGATATTGGGCCAGCGATGTAGCTCAGTGGCGCTACACCTGCTTGGCAAGCACAAGGTCCTAAGTTCAATCCCCAGTACTGGGGGAAAAACCTCAAACCCTGCAATGTCCAAAATTGACAAGAAGTTAAAACTTACAGTTTACAAAGAGTTCCCACAAGTCAGCCATAAAAGGACATAAAGCAAAGGAAAATGCTAGTCACATATAAAACAAGAAATCACAGATGTCTGAGCATCTAAAAATGGATATGAAAAGATGTACAAACTGACTAAGAATCGGAGAATTGCAAATAAATAAAAGTAAGATACCACTTCATGAACAGCAAAATGGAAAACAGTACTGACAGGGACAATAGGAAGCAGAAACTCACATCCTGTTTTAGAGATGATATATTTTAAATAATCATTCTGCAAAGCAATCTTCCTTATGTACTCAGAGAAACATGTAAAATTTGTTCCCAAAATCCCTCATGTGAGTGAGTAAGACTGAAGAGATTCTCACAGAGAAATAAGGTGATGTGACAGTATTAATTTCAGAGACAGGATGCAGAGAGAGAATTACAGTATCCATTATTAGAACAATATATAGGTGAAATGTGTGAAATATCATGCAGTAGTTAAAAACAATAAAATAGATCCAAAAGAGTAATTATATTTGAACAGTATCAAATAAGAAGACAAAAATCTAGTGCAAGTTTCTATGAATGTGACTGTGAAACACCCACAAAACATTTTACAAAATCATTTGACTATTTAAGAACATATCCAACATTATGGTGGGTCCTAGAGAAAATGCAATTCAAGATCAGGGATAAAAAGAGAAAATGTTTAAATACAGCAGAAGTTAGGCCTTTCAAAGTACAATAATGATTGCATACCATGAAATGAAAAGAACAAGTAGCTTGATTTCTCACCCTGAGGTTCACAGCAAGGGTTGGGGAAAGCATGGAATATGAGATCGTGGTCCTTTTATTTATGGAGATTACATTTTTTGCTTGTGTGAAACAAGATTGTAACCACATAATAGAAAATTAATCAGAGTAGGTAAGAGATAAATATATTAGCTGGTATATCTATTTAGACAGAAATAAAATCAAGGGAAACTTCATGAAAAATATCCTACTAGAATTAAATGTATCAAATAAAATAAACTGCATTTATTTCACTTTCATAATTTTAAATGAATTCTTCTTAGTAGAAGGTTTGTAGTAAACTATTCAACTAAAAGGCAATTATAACCTATAGGATATTGTCTTTCAGCAAATTCTCTAGTGTTCATTTTAGAAAAGATTTGTTTCAGTGGTCTCCCACTTTTCATATTCACTATTGCTGGTTGCTAACTAACCTGGGGAAATCTTAACCCTACAGTCTAATTACACTAACTATCCTTAAATAACACAATCCATAATAGTGCCTAGCTTTTATTCTAACACTCATTTTATACACTGTGGGTAAAAAGATTTCTAATAGGCTATCAACAGGTAACAATTTGGAGAGTTTGGGGTATACCTGTTGTCCAGACATAACTATTAAAAAGGACTCTATTTCTCTGGAAAGTGTCCTTGTTTATATAATCAACTTTATGGTCCTCTTACCAATGAGTCCATAAATCATTGGAACAAATATCAAAGTAAAAGTGTAGAAAATCAGACTGATGATTTATGGTTATTTTGTTTTCAAATTTCCCACATTAAGCTTTTACCATAAAAACAGAGGATTAAAATTGTACAAGTTTTGTCAGTGTTAAGAATGGATTACATAAAATTAGGATTAAGTGTTATATGTGACTTTTAAATAACCATTTAGCCAGCAAACCCTTTAAAACAAATACTTTGATCCTAGCCTCCATAAAACTAGAGAAATCAAGGATTTTGATTTATTTTTCCATCATGCTACTAGAATAATAACAACAATTTACTCAGAGGCTAATGTTGTTATATCTATAAAAACCATGTGTTATAAATTGATATACCAAAATAAAAGCTTATATTAAAACTCAGATGAATACTGGCATCTCAATTTATATTTTCATAGAATAAAGAATATTAAAAACTTTACCTTCTGCATAGAGTTCTCCTGAGATCATTACTATAATAATAAAAGCCAATTCTTTCAACCTCATTTTTAGTGGTGTGCTTCATGAAGATTTTAGCAATTCTACAATGCTGGAAATTTGTCATTCGGTACACAACACTTTCTTGAAGAAAAAGTTAATAATTTACAACATCTATCTAAATCTCTTTGGTAAAACCCTTGTCTTTCAATTAAAATATTTTCAAATACTGTTAAAATCATACAACTATATTAATTGACATGTCTTTTTCTACTAGAGGACAATAAGAACATAACAACAAACAAGGACGACAACAATAGCCACAGCATAATTAACACAGGCTACATAAACTGGGTAAATTTTCAACTTTGATTCCCAATTTTAAGTTCATAGAGTAAAGTTCACCTGGCCACTGATGTTTACTGATATTGACCAAGTGAAGGGATGAACTTAGGAACAAGAGATAACAGAGACATGATGTTAAAAGGAGTGATGAAAACATAAGGTGAATCTTTAACCGTTTAAAACCATTTAAAACTTTATTACAGTAAATGAACACATTGCCATTAATCTCCCTCAAAATGCCCCCCTTACTTCAAAGACAATTATCCCATTTCTTTTCTTACCACTTTCTGAAATGATTCTGGAAATAATCTTTCATGCATGTCTTTATGACGTGTGATAAAAAATAAAGTGAATACTGCTACCAAGTGCCTTCCAAAGGAAAGGTAAGCTCATAAAAATATTACAGTGTGTCCTCATCCACCTTACTCACTGGATCTGGGAAGGTGCTGATTCTGACTGTTCCCCAAGGTTAAAATTACCATTAAGGGTAAATATTTTAATTTATTCAGGGCATCGAGGAAGCCAGAACAATACAACTAAAAAGTCATGAAAGAGGACTGCCAGAACTACTTCAGAAAGTGGCAAGAAGAATGGGATAAGTGTGTTCACCAGGAGGAGTATTTTGAGGAAGATTAATGGCAATGTGTCTTTTACTGTAATAATTTTTAAAGAATTAAATACTCGTATTTTTGAGTCACACTGTATATGTTGTTTGCTAGAATGCACTCCTTAAAGGCATGATCTTGTCTCAATTGATAAAAATAGTAGTGTCTAACATTTACAGAGTTTGAACTCTGTGGGAAGTGGTGAAGTAAACACTTTGCTATCTCATCACTCACTAACGAAAAATGTTTTGAATCTCCATTATATGCTAGGCCTTACTGTAGTCTTGGGGTACGGAGTAGTGAAAAATAGATTAAAATTGTTATTCTTATGGAGTTCACATTCTAGTGAGTTGTTGGTTGTTTTATTTTGGTTTTTTTGGTACCAGGACCTTGTATTTGCCAGACAGGCACAGCGCCACTGAGCTACATCCCCAGCCCTCTAGTGAATTTTAAATTTAAAAATAACACCAATAATACCATATGGTGAGAGCTAGTATTATTTTAATTTTGTAACATTTTATGAAAATATAAAAGTGCCCGTACCATAAGTCTTTCTACATATTAATGAACTCTCGCAAACTGAATACATTCATGAATACAGAACCCACAACAAACAACATACAAGCCTCTAGACTCCCTTACAAGTTACTACCTACACTCACACCCATGTGAAACAGTATCTTTACTTCTAACCGTAATTTTAGTTTTGCCTGGTTTTGCCTATTTTTACATAAATAGCATCAAGTAGTATATATTTTGTCTTATTCTTTTTTAAACATTTTGAGGGACAAGCATATGTTTAAGATGTAGCAGGTAGTTGTTTGTCTGCATAGTTTTCCATATTGTGATTATGCCACAAATTATCCATTTTGCTATTTATAGAAAGTTGAATGATTGGCAGTTTCAGAAAATAATATGTTATCTGCTTATTTTAAATATTCTTTTTTCATTTGAAGATTTTCAAACAGAACCTCTACTTGGATTCTACCATTAACATCTTAATTTTCTTTTTAATTCTTAAATACTTCAATTAATTTATTTTTAATAGTAGATATCCAGATTTTTTTATACTTTGACCAACACATCATTATTTTCCCTTCTCCTTAGTCCCTGTTAACTATTATTCAACATTTGCTTCTAGATATTTGACTATCTTACATATGTAAGTGGGAATGTGGAGTGTTTGTTTTTCAAGGTTCCATCATTCAGCATAATACCATCCAAGTCCACCTATGTTGTGAAAAATACCAGGATTTCTCTTTTAGTCAAAGGTGTGTAATATGGCCATTGTATGTGTATACTGCTTTTCTTTATCTCTTCATCCAACAACGGACATTTCATTTATTTCCATATCTTGACAATTGTGAATAATGATGCAATGAATATACTGTTGCAGATATCTCTTTGAAATTTCCATTTCAGTTTCTTTGGACATATATCCAGGAGTAAGATTGCTGAATCAGGTAATAATTGTCTCTTCGATGTTTTTAGAAATCTCCACATTATTTTCCAAGGACTGTGCCAATTTACTGTCCCACTTATACTATACAAGGGTTCCTATTTCTCCACTGTCTTAGCAGCAGTTGTTTTCTAGTTTTTATTTGTAATAGCCACCCTTACAGGACTGAGGTAGTATCTGTGATTTTCATTTCCCAGATAATTAGTGATATCAAGTGGAATTTCATGTGCCTATTGATATTTGTTGGTCTTCTTTGGAGAAATATCTATTTAAGGTTTTTTACCCTTTTAAAATAAGGTTATTTCTTTTGCTATTGAGTTGTAGGAGTCCCTTATATATTTTAGCTATCAGCGCATTGTCAAATACATGGTCTGCAAACATTAACTCCAACTTCATACTTTATTTCCAGGCTTGATTGATTCCTTTGCTGTGCAGACCTCCTTAGTTTGATGTAGTTCCACTATCTGTATTTTTGCTTTCGTTGCCTTTCCTGTAGTTTCCAATAACATTTTCCTCATTTCCATCTGAACAACATCAGCATGTTTTTAACTTTAATGTAATGCCAGTAGATATTAATAAAAAATATAAAAACCACTTTTCTTCTATGAAAAACCAAAATGTCAAAACAAAACTAGAGAATAACAATAGTTAATATACAATATATCATGATCTTAAAATAATGGTCAAAATGTTACTCAGAGTATAAGTCATAACCAAAAAAAATTCTCTTACAGGGCCAGGGATTTAGCTCAGTGGCACCATGCCTGCACAAGATCCTGAGTTTGATCTCTGGTGCCAGGAGTTGGGGGGGGGGGGGCGGAGAATCTTACAAAGAAGAAACAAATAAAAGGATAAAGTTCTTTTCAATGAACAAGAGACTAGTAGTATAAAAGAAACATCTTGAAGACATTCTATATGACCATCAACAGATGAATGAAGAAAATGTGGTATTTATATACATTGGAGCACTACTCTGCAATAAAGAAAAACTTGAGGTATTCATGGGCAAACAGATGCAACTTGAGAATATGTTAAGTGAAATAACTGAGACATACAAGCTTCAGTATCACATGTTTCTCTTGCATGAGAATGTCCTTTAATGTTCATATTTCTACTAACATTCTGATCACAGCCACATAGAGTGAACTGATCTCTAAGAAAACTGAAGCTTTTTCTCCAAGCCTCTTCTGTGCCAAATCCTCATTGCCTTTAATGCCCTGTTCATTTTTGTGGGTCTTTCCAATATCTTATTATTGCTAAAACTGTTGCAATGAACATGTCATTTTGCAGATGTATAAATATCAAAGTAGAATAAATTGCAGAAGTGAAATGAACCAGTAAATACAAATATTCCAGTATCTTTCTAATGAAATCATACTGATTATTTCTATTTCACTTTCTGTGCCTAGTCATATTCTTTGAATGAGTATTTTCCTATTGAACTGTATTTTTCTTATACACTTTTATGATTATGAACCCAGCCAAGACAATGGAACTGCTCCATAATTTTGAGTTGTATGTACTTTTCCTGGTGTATTTATCTTTTGAATTTATGATGGTGGATTTTGGGAGTTAATTAAACTTTTCCTCCAAAGCTTTTGGGATGTGTATCGTACTTGGAATCATTAAAATATTTTTTTAAATCACCAGTTTCTTATAGTAGTGCTTTGATTTCATTTTTGATGAATATAATTTTTAGATAGTATCAGAGAAGTATCTCCCTCCCTCAAATTGCCAAACTGTTAATCAGATAGCTCACCTTTTTGCAACTGATCTCTATTTCTATCATTGTCTTACCCTAAATTCCTATACACATTTTAGTTCTACTTTAAGATTTTTCTATCAGTTTATTTTATTTAGGATTTTAGCACCAGACTTCAACTACCTTCACTATTGGATATAATGTATCCTAGTAAGTCTAAATTTCACACTTTAAATTGTCCTTTTCAGAAACTTTGTCTAGTTTTGGTTGTCTATTGTTAACGTAGTAGAGGTCTGGAGTCACTATGCTGATTTATAATCCAGACTGTGACTTTAGAAAAGCACTTTTTTGCATTTAAAACTCTTTATTTGTAAATAAAAATAAATTCATTCCTAAAATAAAGTTCATCTCTAATCAGTGGCTACTTAAAATATGTTTTAGAAATACTGTTGAGGCAGGGCCAGGGATTTAGCTCAGTGGTTCCGCTGCCTGCCTCGCAAGCGCAAGGACCTGAGTTCGAGCCAAGAAATACTGTTGAGGCTAATTCAGTACTCCAAAGTTTGCTGTTCTTTTAAATAAATATACATTAAAATAGCTTTAGAAATAAAATCCTAAAGTTTCATAAAGACAAAACTGCCCAAAGCTACCAATCTATAACTCTATAATCGGTAAAAATGCTTCAAAAATGAAACAGAAAGTTTTAAAGAAAAACACCATTTAGACATACATAGCTGAAAGAATTCACCAGCCAACTTGCATTCTGAGTCATATTAATAGAATATGGAGAAGGAAAATGATACCAGATGAAAGTCTGTATCTACATAAGGACTAAAGAGTCCAAAAATAGCACCTACATGAATAAATACAAACCTTAAAAATATAAATCTTTTTAAAATCGATTATTTAAAGCAAAAGTGATGAAAATGGTAGCAATTTATTGTAAGGTTTACTAGAAATAAACTGTTGACAACAGCACAAAGGCAAGGAACAGAGAAATTCAGTAAGCTGAAAGATCCTTATACTCCATGTTGTAGAAATTTATGCATCAAGTAACAAGTTATATTAAACATAAAAACTGCGATCGAGTGTGACAAAAATAAAACCTTTTCAATTGATCCAAAAAGGATAGGAAAGAAAAAAGATGAAATGAATAGAAAATAAAACAGATTTAAACTGTCACACTAATAATTGTAACTAAAGTTTACCCTCGTTAAAAGAGGACTAGATTAAAAGACTAGATTAAAAAATAAAGGCCCAATAATATGCTTTTGAAAAGAAACCCATTATCATACTAAAACACAGATAGGATAAAGGTAAAATGCAATGATACAGTGGGCCAGATAATGGCTTCCCAAAGAAATATTCCTGCTCTAATCCTCAGAATCTTTAAATGTTACTTTATTTGGAAAATGAATTTTTGCAGATGTAATTAAAGATCTTGAGGTGAGATCATGCTGGATTACTAGGATGTTCCCCTCAATTTAATGAAAAATATTGTAAGAGTCAGATTAAATAAAGACATAAGAAGATAATGTGACCAGAGACTGGACTGATATGTCTAGAAACCGAGGAATACCTGGGTCACTATCAGCTTGAAGAGGTAAGGAATAGATTCTCCCCTAAGGCCTTAGGGAGTGTACCACTGCCAACTTCATTTCAGACCAATGAGCTGCAAAACTGTGAAAGAAGAAATTTTCTACTGTTGTAAGCCAGTAAGTTTACAAAAATTTGTTATAGAAGCTTAAAAAATTAATACATATGCTACTCCTAATCAGAAGAAAAATGGAATATCCAAAAATATGAATGAACTTAATGTCAATAATCTACATACTTGAAAATGGTTAAAATATTACATATATTTTATAATTAAAATATCAGAGAGAGAAGTGCTGTTAATATCAAGCATCGTTTCAGTACAAAGAACAAAAAGGTCATTTGATAATTACAAAGTGGTAAATATATCAAGACAACACAATGACCTTGAAGATCTACAGAACTACAAAAAGGAAATATACATATTCTAATCTCCAGAACCTTTACATGAGTTTTTGTAGACGTAATTAAAGGTGTTGAGATAAGATCAGGCTGGATTACCAGGATATTCACCTTAATTCAATGAAAAATGTTCTAAGAGTGAGTCAGAAAATTAAAGAGGAGGTAATGTGATCAAAGAGACTGGACTGGATAAAAAGAGTCAGAAAACATATATATATATATATATACATATATATATATATATACATGTATATATATACACATACATATACACATATATATATATACATACACACACACATATATATATATAGTGTCAACTGATATTCTGAGAAATGTACGCATGAAATTTAATGGAGAAAGAATAGTCTTTTTAAATAAATCCTTCGGGATCCCAGGCAATCCATGTGCAAAACAAAAACAAAAAGGAGAAAAACAGTACTTTGATTCACTCTTTATTTCAGATACAAAAGTTAACTTAAAATGGATCAACAAATTATATAGCAAACTGATACAACTTCTAGTAGAAAAATAGAAAATCTTTATGGACTTGAATTAAGCTGTTTTTAGATACTTTAGATACAACATACCAAAAGTATTATCAATAAAAGTAAATTGGACTTCACTGAAATTAAAAACTGGTCTTCAAAAAGCACAATTAAGTGACAGACTCGGTGACAGTATTTCCAAGTCCCATGTCTGATAAAGGTCTAGTGATCAGAATATTAAAAGAACTCTCACAACTTAGTAAGAAAGTATTTAAAAAATGGTCATGACATTACAAATGGCAAAATACACACAAATGGATACCCAACATGATTAGCATTAGGGAAATGCAAATTCAAATTAGTATGAAAATGCAGTCATCTCTATCAAATGCTTAAAGTTATGCCTGACCAGAGCAAGTGTTTCTGACAGTGTTGTCAATGTATTAATACACAAAGACACATATTATGCGAATACATTACACAACACCCTCAAAACAGGGGTCTTAATGAAAATTGGATTGGACATATAAAACAGGAAAAAGATGTGAGAATCTGGCTAAGTAAATTAAGTGAATATACTTACCCATTAAATATGAGATACAGTAAAAAGACTACATCTAGGATTAGGAAGAACAAATAAGAATACGATTCAGTTATATTATTTTATCTTTTGTATCTCACAATTTTTTAGCTCACCTGATTCAGCTGTTTCAAGACAAGAATTGTACTTCTATATAATAGTGAAGGTGGTTTCAATTCAAGAATCACCATAGCCTTATCATTAAATTTGACAATGTACAACCTTAAGGAATTTCAAGGTGGGTCACAATTTCATCCTAGTCAAATTAGGGTTGTGTATGCAGTCCTGTTATAAGCAGAAAGGACAGCCTTGTAATTCTTTTGTCAAATCCAACACATCTCCCTACGAAGGGAGAAAAAGGAAGCCCTAGTTAAGACTGATGTTACTCCCCACTTCAATGAATGGTGATTTGTACAGCTGAGCCAGGGGAGAAAAGGTGTAGGCTAAAAGTCCACTAGAAGTTTTCAGCTTGATATTAAACAATAAAATAATAATAACAAAAAAATAGTTTTAACTATTAGTCATTTTCTTGTATGTATAAGTTCATTTAAATATTTCTTGTGCAACTACTAGGTTATACCTATCTTAGAGGAAAATAGTGCCAATAACATTTTTATAGTGGTCAATAAAATCCTAGCAGTATAATTTATCAAAGTAAATAGACCATTTATTTATACTAAAATTCTGTTGAAGAAAGAGTAAAGAGCAATGGGAGAGTCAACAAAAAAATACAGTATGGAAAACAGTACTACTAAGAACTCTTAATACACTTTATTGGCAAAAAAGAAAAAATTGTTGACAGACACTTTCAATATACACTTTAACCTTAAACAATGAAGAATTTAACAGTTTAGTTACTTTTAGTATATATATATTTTATTTTTAATACAAAGCCAAACTTTAAAACTTATACACAGAAAGCAAAATATTCATGATTAGCTTTAGTATTTCTTCATACTAACACACTGAAGATGTTTACATTTACTAATAAGGAATGCCAATTGTATCCATCACCATTTGAATAGCTTGCAGGGGATTGGTAACTTCTATATTATCTCTTCTCAAAATCCAATCTGGTTTAAGTCTGTTTAAAAAACAAACAAAAAAATTGGCATTAATATAGTTCTTCCCTTAGAAGGGAACTCAATGTTCTGAACTCAATGTGGCAACTCCTGAACACATTTCCCTTACAACCCTGTCAAAGAGTTGGGACAGCTCCACATCACTACCTACCTGAAGTTCCATACTATGGCTTCCTTAAAGTTTATCCCACCTATGTGCTCACTTCGGCAGCACATATACTAAAAAGCTTATGCTACCTAGTTCTTGCACCACCTTTTGGTCACTGATGAAACTCCCAATGTCTTATTCTTTGTGAGGTTCTTGGTATTCTCTCAACTCCTGTCGCCATTCTCAGTGACATCAACATTCATGCGGCTCCAAAGCCAACAGCCTGGTCAGCTTTGGCCATTTTCTTATGTTATTCCACAACTACTCCTTTCTTACATGGTCATATACTAGACTTTGTCTTCTTCAGAAAGTATACTTCCACTGAAGTCTCAATTTGAGACTTCCATTTTCCAACCACCACTTCTGTTTCATGCATATCATCTGCTTTAATACAATCACTGTTTGAACTCCACCACCCCACTGAGATCCCAATTCATCTGACTTCAACACATATTCATCATCCATCCATCAGAATGCTGTTCTCACTTCTCTCCCTAACTAGCTTAGGTAGGTCAATATACTCCATTTGCAAATGCCATTAACTGTTTCTCTCTCCTATTCAACTCATCTGTAAAATTATACTTATGAATAAAAACAGCTGCTTTCCTCATTACTGTACAGACAGTTTTAAAGAAAAATTATACAAACAGGCTGACATTCTATTTTATGTCAACTGCAGACCTAAAACTGGACATTTGCCTAGTATATTCCATTTCTCTCCAAAATGACTATTTTGATCCCTTCCCTTCTTCTAAACATCCCCTCTCTAACTCTAAGCTGTGTCTCTGCTGAGTTTATAACTTATTTGTATTTTCCTCTAATTTATGTCACACGTTTCTGAGGCTTACCCAAAATAAAACTCATCATACAGTACTCCTTCCCACTCAATCCCACCTTTTCTCAACTTAAATTTCCCATCCTTTAGCACTCAGCTTAAATACTACATACCAGGGATGATTTTCCAGTCACCTTCCTTGAACAAGAACTCCAGGTTACAATCTATCTTAGCAACTGTAACAATCTTTATTATTTTCTCCACTAATTTGCTTGTTCATTGTCATTCTCCTGAGCTACATAGCACTACGCTGCACAATAACCTCAAATTTGGCACCTTGCAATGCCAGATGTAGGTCTACACCACCTCTACTCTCTGACAGTGATACAGAGGTCTGTCTGGTTAACCATGTAAGCAGGCATCCAGTTTTTAAAAAACTGTAAAGTAATATGCCTTAAAGTAGTTAAACTATAATTATCTCTACACATCTGTAGTATGCTAAACGGGAGCCCCAAAATATTAATCCATGTCTTAATCCCAGAACCTGTGGATGTTACCTTACTTGGAAAAAGAAATTTTACAGATATAATTAAAGTATCTTGAGGTAAGATCATCCTGGAGGACTGGCTGTGGTAAAATAAATCTAATGACAAGCATCCTTCCAGACACAGAGGAAGGAGGAGAAGGCATGTGAAGACAGAAGCAGAGATTAGAGTTATATAGCCACCGGGCAAGGGACACATAAGAGACAATGACGCTGGAAGGAGGAGGAGCCAGGAAGGTCGGTACTGGAGAACCCCCAAAGGCAGTATGGCACTGTTAATTAATACCTTGATTTTGGACTTCTGGTCTCCAGAACAGAGAGAGTATGTTTCTGTTATTTAAAGTCACCAAGTTTGTGGTAATATGTCATAGCAGCTCATAAAAAGCCAGGATAATTATGGGAGGCCTAGAGGTTGATATTTTGGTCAAGAGAGACTCTTAACAGCTAAGACCTAGTTTGTTCTTACTGAGGAAAATAAAAATGATATAACAAAATTGTAACTAGCATTTGCTCTTAACTGTTTAATGTAAGAAGCTTGTTGAATAACTAAAATATCCAAAACTCTAATTAAAATATAAATAACCAAAATAAAATTAGTATTATCTTATTATTTTCTGAGATTGCCTCCTTTAGAATTTACTGAATATTCTATTCAGATGTTGTTTCTCTACTGTCAAGAACAACATCTTATGGTTAGTACTGATAAACACTTATTAAATGAACCAATGGTGGCACAAAATTATAGAGTGCATTTAACTGCTTACCTTGAAACTATTCTGGTCCTTACAGGTTTTTCTGCAATACACGGAATGCCTATAGAAGGATTCTGCTTTTGTTTATAAAATATTCTTTCAGTATTGATTTTATGTTTACGTGCCGTAAGTTTATATAGACTACAAATACGGTCAACAACTTTGGACCTACTTCGTACATCCTAAAAAGAAAACATATATTTATTAAAAAAGAAGAATTAAATTTCTGTCTCTCCTAGCATAGCAAAACCAATCATCAGAAATGTTACACTGCGAGTTTTTGAGCTTTTAACAAAGCAAAGGAAAGCTCGTTCAATTCAGTAGGCAGATTCATTTAAATTATGATCTAATTTGCAAGGCCATTACATGGAGGACAAATATTCAAAAGTTGCACACTTAACTCCATACTGAATACAGAAAGGAAATACTATACTCAAATATATCTATCCAGTTTCCATATTCTAAGTCTCCAGAGTTATCCATTTAACTCTCATTGACACAACCTTAGTGAAACATAAGGTCTCGCCTAGTCCCCTACACATCCATGCTTGCTTGCTTCTTCAATGGTCTCCCTATAGCCACACAAGCTCTCCCAAATTCATTCTTCAATCAGCAACCAGAAAGATAGTAAAACCTAAACTGGAAAATATCACTCACTTGCTTAAAATTCTTTAGAGGTTTCCCATGGTTATCAAATATGGTTATCCCATGTTGATTATGATACCTAGAGAGAATAACTGAGCAGTGTTGCCACAGAAATGCTTGAAATATATTTATGGTTATAACAAGATAGAGATAACAAGATAACAAGATATCTGATTTCTTACCTTGCTAGGATAATTTGTTATTCTCTCTAGAAATGAAAAATGGTTACTGCAAATAAATGGCTGTAAATCAATTCAATTTGCAGAATTCAGTTTCTTTAGTATCAGAAAGAAACAAATGCATACATTTTACATATATGTTTGTGTATACGAATACATATGTATATCTCTTAGTTTTATCAGTGCAAGAAGGGCCTTTGAAAACAAACAAAACCTTATTTTAGTGTGATAATTACTTTAAGGAAAAATATAAAAGTGATAGACCCTCAAACAAAGGAAACCAATTAATACTCACAGAGGCTCGATTTGTTGTCTTCAATAGAACAGCCAACAAACAGCAAGTCTTTGTGAAAATGCTTCCACCCTTGTCTGCAACTTTATCCCCAGGTTTTTCTCTGTATATCTGTAAGAGCTCCAGCAATGTGTCTATACAATTTTCTACATCATAAACTGCTGAAGTAGTTTTCTCATACTTGAAGAGAACAGAACAAAATTAAGTTAAACACATACCTTTATAAACACCCCAACCAGAAATAAAGCTGAGAGCCAAATTTTTGGAGCATTTGCAGCAAGTGCAAAGACTTTGTAAAATTCCTTTTATTACTGTCATTTCTGGATCTATTTTACATGCATATTTGCACCATAATCTTTTACATTCCTACTAACTTCTAAAATTCCACATAAAATAAATCAAATCTAAAATATCTACAAAATAATATCTTGAAGTAAACAAAAGCAAACTTTTAAAGATCATTTTAGTAAAAATCTCTGAGAAAAAAAACTTCTGTAATAGTTAACTGTAGGCTAAGATAATGATCTAATTACTCTATTATATGCTTCTTTAGAATAAGATGAGCTTGCTTTAAAATAAAACAATTTTGACACTAATTAGTCTAGGATGTATTTTTAATCCTCATTTATCTAATTGTTCCATTACATTTATGTTGAATCATATTACATGGTAACAAATAATGAAACTAAGTTAAAAATAATAGAATAGCTGACACTTTTATGGTTATGTGTATGCATCGAGCATTGTACGTATACTAAGTCATTTAATTTCACAAAAACATTTTGAGATGGGACTGTAAGTATACTAATTTTACAGTTGATGAAAGTAACCTATAACAACCTGCAAAGCTGGAATTCAAACCAGTTAGTTTGGCATCAGACTATGTTCTTAACCACTACCTCTCCATGTAAAAATATCAGGTAAAATATCTAAGTTCTGGTTTAGGAGGTGGGTAGGGAAGGTAAATCCTTCATCTTAATACTTTTAATGGTATTCAACTTCTATAATTATTATTCCCTCTATAATAGAGGAATAACATGAGCTACTATAGGTATTAGGGTTAAATAATGCATGAAAAATACTAGCATATAGTATTTATTAAGTTCTAGTCACTGCCATAACATAAATGCAGAAGAAATGAAATGTTACATAAATTAGTATTTCAATCCACAGTCATTTTAGTACAGTAAATATTTTCCCTTCCTGCATTAAAACTCCTATACATAAATGAATTTCAAGTTAAAGGTCCAAATTATAGTGATAAGCAAGCACAAATTTAATTTTCAGGATCATGTTTCTTGACCAGTGAATATTTTATTATTAAAATAAAAAATTACCTTTGCTACATTAAGCAAGACTTGTACGGCATGTCTGATAACTTCCATACAAGGAACACTACGATTACAACTTCGGATCAAAACAAATACTTTAGAAATCGCTCCACTCTCAGCCATGTTCTCACAACAAAGGGGAGATAATCTAGTGACGACCTCTGAAGGGGGGAAAAAGACTAATTAAACTCACAGCAACAGAATGAAGCTTTAGCTCACATTGCATTATTGCAACATTCTTTAAATATTGCAGGTACAAATGCATTCCTAATCTTAATCAAGATATTGTTAGAGCAAACTAACCTAGGTGCTTTAAAGCCTCCAGAATGGCAGAAAGGTGCTTATATGTCAAAAGATCATGAAGTGCAAGTGCAGTTCTTTTGTACAGCTTGTTTTCTTCTCGAATCTCTTTATTGACAAGTTGAAGACTTAGTCGTATAGCTTTGATTTTTGTGCAATCATTTTTCTTTCTCCAAGAGTAGCCTCTCCATAATGCCTTAGCAGATAAACAAAGTAATTTAAGATTATAGCCAATAATGTTTTGAACTTATATCTACATCCATTTCTATAATATAAATATTTTCAGTAAGTTTATATGATATGATCAGATACGTTTCAACTAAAACTTCAATTTAGGTTCCAATCTTAAACTAAAACCACAGAATTTTCACTTACCTGGATTTTGGTGATACTATTATTAAATTTTTCTTGTCTTTTGCAAAGAAGAAAGCGGCGTACTGCTTTCTGTATTACCGAAGCAGCCCTATTTTGCTGGTTCAGATGTTCTTGCATTTCATGCTTAGTTTTTATGGTGTTACGATATTTCTCAATAAACTTCTTTCGTTGTAATTTTGCTCGAAACCATCTCTGTTTAAAACAGGATTTTTCATTTTTACTTCAAGTTTTTTTTTTAAATACATTCACATATAAAAATGAAAGAAATAGAATAGAATATCAAATTTTTTTAACCCTCCCCAGTGGCTCCATTTCCCTGCTTCACTTATTACCTGCCCCTGGAAAGTGCAAACCCTTCAGTCCATATTGAATATGTGTGTGTGTGTGTGTGTGTGTGTGTGTGTGTATGTGTGTGGGGTGTACTTAACTCTATACTACATGGCCTTTATTTTACAGTTTATATACATTCTGTTAAACTGTGGATCAGCCTGCAATTTGTTTTCTCACTCAACAGTTTTGATATTTTTCAATACCAATTACATCAGAGAATAATTCACACATTTATTCACGTGACATAAATTAACCTCAAATCACCCGAACAGCTATATGCTGAAAGTCTAAATATATAACCTAAGCATAAAGTTTCTGGAAAATGTTTATTATATAACACAATTTTTTGTAACAAAATTTATATCTTATAGTTTTACTGTAGAGATGCTAACCTGAATACAGATGACTGAATTAATCTGCTTCTTAGCATTCTTCATAGCCATGTGAAGTTTAAATGCTCTTTGAATTCTAAGAGCAGACAGGTGATAATATGTGGCTGCAGTAAAGTGAAGAATTCGAATTTTGGCTCTTTCTTCTAAAATCTAAAGCAGAAAAAAAAGTTCCATATTAATCACCAAATATCTAATTCCTAAGGCAATCAATATTTATTTTTATAACTGCAATATCAAGTTTTATAAACTTACAAAATAAACTTATTTCCATTTCAATTTAATGTGATCATAATCATTATACAATATTTCTAATAGCACAACCTGTAGCTCAGGATATAAAAGCAAAATTGTATTTTGGGCACACTGAAAAACAGCATTTAATTTAACTAGACTACCCAGTACCTGCTAGTTAAGGTTTTGTATACACTTATTATGAGAGAAGAATATAAACATTCAACTCAATAAAGTTAGTGTTCCAAGTCAAACTGTTACAGATGGTAACACTACATAAGACAAAATTATATGAATTAATTTCTTCAGTATTTGATAGTGTAGCACAAGTCCAGTGTAAGACTGCTATAGATAAGAGTCCAGCAGTGACCTCTGGGCTTTTGCCTTCTAATTTATATCTAATGAACAAAATATAAAATATTACCCTTTTTCATTTGAAATCTATTATCTTGTCTGTTCCAGTATTTTGCAAATGTGATGAGTTCCCTAAGCAAAATTCTGACACACCAAAGATGTGGAAGATATCACAGGAAAGCAGTTACAATGCCTCAAAGAGTTGCCTGAGGGAAGCAAAGGGCTACTTGAGTGAAAATGAACACCCTCCACATCCGGAGTCTCTGCTTCATTTTCCTTTCAGTTCTTTTGTTAAGAGTTTATTACACAAGAGAAGTTCTATTTTGCATCCTTGGCAGTGACCATTTGTGGAAAATAGTAGGGTCACAGAACAAAAATCAGTGCTGGCCAGTGCTCTCCTTACATGGTTCTGCAGCTGCTGAGTAAATTCAAATTAATGACTGTATTCATTCTGAAATTATTGTCCAAAATTTCTTACCACCACTTAATATCAAAATACTTTCATTTCATAGGACTGAGATATTCTACTTAAAAATACGTACTTTTTTTCTTACTAGCCAGCTCTGTACCAGTATCTGCGGAATAACTGCAGACTTTTAAAATTCAAATTATTTTATCCACTTCCTACCACCCTGGCTCGTATGTTTTTGTGTGATTAAAAAAACATAATATCTCTGCCAAAGAAACACCTAGAGCCCCTAAAATGTGCCTAGATCAAATATGCAGTTTGATGTCTGTATAAGGAAGATTCTGTAAACAACATTACTAGACAGAAATAATATTCTCAACCTAGTAGGGCAGTGGTGGACCTCTGGCATGTGTGCCACAGCCAGCTCCTTGTTATCACTGAAAGCTCTAAAAGGTTTGTCAGTACTGTATTAGAGGGTCTTGAATTTCTCAATGTAAAATGAAATGGTATAATTACAATGTGTTTACATGTGTAGCTTGAGACAGTGATAGTGAGGTCAAGGATCACAAGTCTGAATCCAATCTGGGAAACTTAGTGACTTAGCAAGACCCTGTCTCAAAAATAAAATAAATAATAATAATAATAAATAAATAAAATTTTTAAAAAGGCCTGTGGGTGTAGCTCAACATGAAGGCCATATGTTTAATACACACTACTTTAAAAAATGAAGAAAAGAAAAAAGGAGGCATAAATTCACATAGATCTATGACCAAAAGGGAAGTACAAGTCAGGGCCAATAGATACCTGGTGTTCATTCCCTCCCAATTTCCTGATTCTTTTCACTGGGAGGAGGAAAAGACTAACACTGTTATAGTTTATTTAAGCTAGGTTTGTTTTACAAACCCCTACCAGCGACTAGGAGAATGATCTAGAGCAAGTCACTTACTTCTTTAAAGTTTCCTCACTTTATTATGAGTCTGATAATACTGTCCACATCATGAGGTCAATCAAATTAGGAAATATACAAGAACTTATCCAATCTTTGGCAGATACTATGTCAGTAGTAAGAGTAATAATAATTGTGATTATACAGCAACAGAGCCACTGAATATTATATGAATATTAGAATACTGTATATAAGTATTTTAATTTTGACTTATTTAATAAAATACCATTAAGTATTATAGTTATTCTAAAACTTGGATGTTAAAAATTTTAAATATGTCACCGATTGCGGCTTAAAAGAGTATTTTATTAAGTATTTCAGTTAATTGGATAAAATATGCTACTTTATTATGATTTTCTTCAAACAGATTGTTTATTTTCACTGACGTCCCTTCAAGTTTGAGTTTAATATTTTATATATACATAAAATTTTATAAACACATATACATATATCACAAAAATCCTAGCAAATAGGTTTTTTTTTTTTGGTACTGGGGATCATACTCGGGACCTTGTGCTTGCAAAGCAGGCGGCGGCACCACTGAGCTAGATCCCCGCCCTAATAGTATTTTTATAGGTAAATATAGTTTTTTGTGGGTTTTTTGGTGCCGGGTAAATATAGTTTTAATTCACTGCGGTTGGTGTGTGTAAAATAAATATAAAGATAGATCTACAAAACATTTATTTTGCGTTCTATTTCTTAAAATAGATCTGCATAAATGAACTGATTTTTATTTACACCTACTTTTATCATTAAGAAGTGCTCACGAGCTATTCTCGCCGAAAGCATGGCTCTCCATTTTCTCTGAATGATAATTGTTGATGTTCTCATCTTCAGAAACCTAAATAATAGTTATTGGAAAGCAACTTCAAATTATTTTAATTTATTCAATAAATACCCCCCCAAATACTGAAGAGAACATAAAGAAAAGCAATGACAGATTAAAATAAAGTGGAAAAATATAGCTCATACTTCAGTTCTAGCAATCAAAATTTGCATACACACACACTCACACAATGAAAAAAGTTTTGCAACTGGTAATATTTCAATGAGTAAGAATTTGGATATTCTAAACTTCTGATATGATGAAGGGTTTAACAAGATCAAAAAGTTTGATTATTCAGATATAGACAAAAACCTAAATAAACAAGGGGAAATAACAGTAAAGAATAAAGTCTTAGTGAATCTCCAAACAGACAGAAGTGGTCAAGAAGACAACTTGGGAGGTGACAAATGAGAAATGGTCACCTATTTTAAAAGACAGGCTCTTTGATCTGTTCTTGGAATTCTAGAAAAAGTAAAGATATTAGCTTGTCTTACAGCCACATTTCTCTGAAAATAAGGCTGAGCATTAATGAGAAAAGGTCACCATTGTGTACAAGAAAATAAGACACTAGTTCTTAGTGCTGACGTGTCTATCCATTAAACTATGCTTCTTCCTGTGGAGTTGATCTAAGAGTCTCTAACCTGGAGCTCTCCAACAATAACTTTAACAATCACTGATGGAATAACTCATCAATTCTAGTCTGCAAAGAAAAATTCCTCTACTGTAAAATTTAAAAAGTGTGGTAACAACTTATAAAAATGTATGTAAAAGAGATCAACCTAGGAATAGGAAAATATAATTTGAATAGATAGGTTGGTAATTAAGGTATTCATCATTAAGGATAAAATGTATATAGAAAAATACAAAGTAACAAAAAAAAGAAAGAAGGAATAAAATTGCTAGTAGCTAAGTCAACAAAGAAAATGGACCAATGTACTAATAAGAGAACCAAGGGTTAACCAGATTATTTTATTCACTCTCAATCCATGTGTCCTTATTCTCATCCTTATCAATTTAAATTAAAGTTTTACTAAATTATATTATCAAAGGTTTCCTCTATCTCAATAACAGCAAGAGAGCCCAAGAGATATATTTTGATTCATTAATGGAGAAACACCAACAAGCCATATAAACTAAGCATAGCAAATATTTAAATAAAAAAATCAACAAGCAGTGTTATTTGATACAAGGATCTGACTACACACGTACACTCTCATGTTCTCATACTCTGCCGCAGAGCTACATTACCGTGTTCTCTCCAGTTTGGTGTAGAAGCAGCCTTGAATAATTTTAACAGCTTTTAATACAGCTAGATATTGTTTGCGTGCGCTCCAACACCTGTACCATGCTTGAATCTTGCAGGCAGCTTTCACTTTACATAAATATTTCTTAGCTTTATACTTTCTCCATACACCCTATTAAGCACAACAATATACAATGATTGTCTATTTTTTGCAAATTGGAAGAATTAGTATTAAAGATAGTTAATATCTTTATATTGATTGCAGAACAAAAATCATTGCAGAAATAAAATCATAACCTGACTATCATACTCTGGCACACAGCTCTCTTAGAATAGTGGTGTTACTATAGTGAATTCCTACTATGTGCTTTATCACTTATACACTGTGGCTGGGTGCTAGGCCAACCTAATATAACCATAATCAAAATTTTAAAATTGCAAGATATGTATGATGTGTGAAAAGCCAGATTTGTGTTTACTGTTATCACCTCAATCTATTGGAAGAACAGAAAGAAATGAATACATCTGTTTCCTGGGAAGAAAACAGGCCCTACTCCATGTACACGCTAGCTTTTATGTTAAGCTAGAGGAGAAACCTGAGGACTCTCAGATTTTCTGATTCTGGCAACCTTGTAGCTGAATAAAAGTTTAGGTGACAGCTACAACTTATTAAACTAAGCACCTAAAACTACTAACTTAATAACATAAGTAAACTCCAGAGAATTTAAGTGACTTGCTGGTATCACACAGGTAAGTGGCAGAGCTAACTTATTTAATATTTATAAATATCTTATGAAATGGTTAAGATCTCTATTATTAGTCCAAATTACTATTGAGATGAAAATGTTTTTATGTAAATAAACCTGAATACCAATGCATATACAAATGTAGTCAGTTATGTACAGTATTTTTAGTGGTTCCCTTTGTTGCTCATAATCACCTAAGGATCATTTAAAAATTCTACTGCCTGAATTCTCCCCATATAAATTAAACCACAATGTCTACAGATGGAAGCTGATCATTAGTATTTTAAAGATTCCAGGTGATTACAATGTGCACTAAGATTACTAGCGTGGGCTAAAAATTACATGTATAAAATCTAAGTTAATAATTCAATTCCAAAAGAGAGAAAACAGTTGACTTTTATAAGATTATTTTGGCTTTTCTGACATTTCTGTTGAATATAATCCTAATACACACAATTAACACCTTTTAATACTGAATTGTCTTGGTAGCATTTGAAACTTGAGCTTCCCTTTCTTTCTCAATCCTTGGTTTCTTGACACCATAATCTCACAGTTTTCTTCTTTCCTTATTAATCCCATGTGTTAGCTTCTTTCAATGTCCTTGAATGTACTCTCTCAGGCTCACGTCCACATCCCCTTCCTCCACTCATCCCCTGAATTCTTCAGGGATGTTCCCTTTACAGGGATAACTCAGTTGTCGGACGCCTCCAAGCTCAAACTATCCATTACTCAAACAGCAAAGTTTGAAAAAATCTGCTCAGGGTTTGTAACTTCGCTCAACAGCTGAACCAAAAATCCAACTTGAAAAAACCTGTACAGGCAGAGTGAGCCATATCATATCTCACCGCAGAAACAAATGAGTGAGGCTTCAGTCTAAGCGCTGCTCGCCCAGACAACATACAGTGCTTGTGTTAGGTGCCCTAAAACACTCATCGTTGTGCTTGCTTTGTGCACTTTGTTAGTGTAAAATATTGTTAACTATGGCTCTAAAGAAAGTTAGTGATACCAGCAATAAGCTAAAAGGAAAACTGAGCATGATAGTTAAAAGAAAAATCATTGTGAAATTTGTTAAAGTCCTGAAAAATTGAATTCAGAAGTGTAATTTTTCACCTCAGAACCAATTATTTGGTTTTCCATTATTTCTTATGGGAACAATATGTTCATTTCTCAAACTTTTTGGTGGTCAAACACAAATCCAGAACAAATTGAGTTCGACAACTGATGTATCACTGTATTTCCACAATGTCAATGATCACCGTATCCCAATAATGTACAAATCAAATTCTAAAAACTCTATTCTTCTGAACTGCAGATAAACAGTCAAATGCCTTACTAGACATCTCAAATAGGTATCTGCAAGGTACTGTAGATTTCAGGTACTCCAAACTGAACTCTTCAAGAATCTCTAAACCTGGTCAGGCCTTTGTTCCCTTGGTCAGTGCATGACACTATCTGCTGGTTCCTCCTTCTTGTGCTACATGATGTCCATTCTATTCTAATCAAACTAATAATTACCACCTCCTTTTACTAACCTATACTGAACACTGACTGTCACCACCGTTCTGCCAGTAGCCTAACTGGTTTCCTTACTTCTACTCTTGCTCCCTCCCTTTACAGTCCATCTTTCACATTTCATTCAGAGTAGCTTTTAAAGATTAAAATGTGATCCTGACCATCTCCTGAGGAAGATTCTCTATTATCTTCTCTTACCCTGGAAGACAAAGACTAAACTTTTTTCCACATCTTGCAAACTAGCTACAATTTTATTCCTTCTATGACCAATAGTCTTTTATCACTTCTTCTTGCTCTCTAGTTTGTTTTTCCATGTTATCACCCACAACTGGAAAATTCCTTCCACACAGTTTACTTGGTTATGTCCAATTCATCCTTTAACCTAACACTGCAACTTATATGAAACTCCTTCTCCAACCATAATGACTATCTTAGATTCTCCTGTTTCCAGCAACAATTTTCCTTGCTCAATTTAAGTTCTTTGAGGCCAGCAATTAAGAACCTTACTCACTGCCTATTCCTAACATGCAGTAGAGTATTTTGCACATCATCACAGACATTTGTTGAATAAAAACATTATTTCTATGCTTAAGAGCAACCTAGCAAGATACCAACACATCACACCCACAGTCAATGTGCAGATTACTGAAGGTAGAACTTGATAGCTGGATTTAAAGAGCTGAAGTACTCAGATTCAATGCCTAGATTTGTCTTTTTTCTATGCAAAAAGTTAACTCTTCTCAGTTGTCTCATATTGCAAAACAGAGAGGTAATACTCTACATTCCTCATGCATTAGAGAACAGATTACACAAAATAATAGAAAGTGCTTTAGAAGCCAAAATTGCTCCTCATTGAATGAAGCATGTCTAATTTAAGTAGCTCTGGTCAGCAGATTAGAAGGATGAAATTACCCTATTTTTACCTAAATTACATTAAATAATACTTGATCTCAGCTTAAACTTTTCAAATAAAAAATGTCAAATAGAGAGTCTTAAAGTTCTTCATGGAGTGCTATAATTAATACCTACTGAAATGCACTAAACATAGGGTGACCATGGCCAGAACAATCCTCGTTCTGTACTATTTTGGCTAAATTGTATGGGTCCTTCTTTTTACTCCATTTCACTTTGTGGAAAATAAAATGATCACTTAAAATTAAGTATTACTCTTTATGACTTGCTTACACTCACTTCATAAATCAAACAAATACTGGACAAAGTGAAGGCTGAAATTTTTATATTAAATTAAATATATAAATACCTGAATTTTTATGGTGCTATTTTTAATCTGTTGAAACTTCCGTTTCTGTATAAACCCTTTCATTACAGCTTGAATAATAATAGCACTACTTCTGATTTGTAAATAAGACTGTCTCTGATGTTTTGTAGACAGAAAAGCTCTGTAGTGATTTTGTAAAACCACTGCTGCTTTCCTGTGGAGTAAAAACTGTTTTCTGGTTTGCCATGTCCTGAAATGCTGCTGTAAAGTGACAGCAGCTCTCCTCTGCTGAATAAATCTTCTCCGATGCACAGCCATCTGAAGGAAGGCCTGAATTCGTAGGGCAGCACATTTCTGTGTGTCCAGTCTTCTTTTGATCATTTTACGAAAAGCTCTTTGAATTGTTAGTGCAGCCCAAGTCTGAGAGTGAGACTCTGCTTCCTGTGAACAAGCAAATAGTGAAGTGTTATACCGCTGGCAAGTCAGAACATCCCCATATTGAACAGTTTCGTACTGTTTCAGTCAACAACAGCTGTCATCTTTACCTCAGGTATGTTTTGCAAAATGTGTCCAGAAACTAACTTTCATGCCTAAAGACAGTTTAAATACAGCGGACCATTGAATTACGACCAGCTTGACATAAAAAACAACTTGGGTTATGACCCAAATTTTAGTTTGAACTTATGACCAAAGTCTTGAGTTATGACCCAAATGCTGACCATTTGTGCTTCCAGATGGTCTTAGATACAGATTTAACCCTTAGAAAGTTCTGGGAGGAATATTACAGCATCCTTTCCTGTGTGGGGTTGAGATATGTTGGGCCAATGTCTCTCTAAGGACAGTGAGTTCTGCCTGTGTACAGGAGAGAGACTTCGAAGGCTGTCTAGAGGAGCCTGAGCCTTCATGACCAATGAGTTACAACCACCCCTTGCAATCGAATTGAATTCATAAGTCAAGTGTCCACGGTAGTTCATATAAATTTCTGAACTGCAAACATTTTTTACTTTTTTGTACCAGGGATTGAACTCGAGTCCTTGTGCTTGCGCAGCAGGCAGCGAAACCACTGAGCTAAATACCTGGCCCCATTTTTTACTTTTGACTCTGACATATGATCTATAATAATTCTGTAAAACAGAAGTCAGTTTTCTTTGCTTGATAAACAACTTGACCTTGTGCATATGGTAGAATGACTAAACTAGTGTGTAGCCAGGTGCATCTATTGGCTATTACTTCTTACCTGAAAGCCTCTGTGAGAAGACTGTACACATATAACTGCTTGAGTACTGGTGGCAGTTAATGCTCTGTATCTTCTTTGAACAGAAATTACTGTTGCTCTGAGGTAGAGGTACTGCCTCCTTGTTTTAAAGGCTTTAAAATGCTTCTGAATAATAACTGCAGCCTCATGCTGTTTCTGAATTTGTTTCCTTGTGTTTATGTCCTGAAAAGTCTGAATACAAATTTCTTCTTTCTTACAGGCTTTGTGTTGAAGAGCTTTCTGTTTCTTTTTATTTGCTCTATATTTTTCTTGTATTACTTTTGTAGCCCATTGAAGCTTTTTGTAGAAACAATACTGCCTATACATTCTATATGTGCTTTGTATTATGATAGCAGCTCTGTGTTTTTCCCTTAAAACTTGTCTTGCTTTCAGTCCTTTATTTGGAGCTTGAATGACCATGGCAGAACCCCATTGTCTGATAAAATTTTCTCTTTGCAATTTTGCTGCTCTGTATTTTCGATACTGCTGCTGAATTAGAATTGCAGCATGTTTCCAACTCTGAAATGTAACATAGTTTCTGTGCATTCTGAAAGTAGCCTGGATCAAAGTAGCAGCCCTGTGCCTTTCTTGCATCTTTTTCCTTACCATCCATCCTCTGTATGATGACTGGATTTGAATAACTGCCTTTCGTAACTGAAGGAATTGTTCTAAGTCATGTTTTGCACGATATTTTCTCTGAATCCAAATAATTGTTTTCTTCAGAGATAGGAACTTTCTTCTCACCATTAGAGTTCTAAATCTCCTCTGAATAAGGATGGCAGCCAAACGCATAACTTTAAAATGTCTCCTGGTTTTCATTCCCCTAAAAGCAGACTGGATGCATATTATACAATGCCTCAACTTGGTGTACCTTTGAAGTTGTATGTTTCTTTCCTTCACTGCTCTGTATCTTTGCTGTATTGTTTTTGTCACTTTCTTTAGCTTATTAAAATATGTTTGCTGCCTGTATCTTCTATAGTATGATTGAATGAGTGTTGCTGAGAGTTGCATCTTTCTTACAGCCTTTCTAACTCTTGCTCCTCTAAAGCTTGCCTGAAGAGTTTTAACAGCCTTCAAAATTGTCAGGTACTTTTCCCGTTGAATTTTACCTTGATAATATGCTCTGTATCTTCTTTGAATTACAACAGCTGCTCTTCTCATTGTATGGTATCTTACTCTTGACTGATGCATTTTAAACATGGCTTTAATAAAAGTGGCTGCCATGTGTAAGTGTTGAATATGTCTTCTTACTCTAATACCTCTATAAACAGCTTGGATTTTAATTGCTGCCTTCTTTAAATTAAGATATTCCTTACGTTGATGGTTTCCATTTTTAATATCTCGATACCATCTCTGAATTATAACAGCTGACACTCTATAGGTTACATATTTCTTTTGGGTTCTATAGGCCCTGTATTTGGACTGGATAGTGACTGCTGCTTTGTTGCAATTCTTTATTCTTTTTCTCACTGTCATACCACGGTAAGCTGACTGTAAAGTTACTATGGCGGCTTTCTTTTTCAAATATAAATGATGTTCTTCTCTTCCAACACTATAAGCTCTATAATACATTTGAATGAGAAGTACAGCTTTTTTCATGGTTTTCCATTTCTTTTGTTGCACATGCATTCTAAAGTATGACTGTATGATAACAGCACAGTTGTGCTGCTTTTCAATCTGTCTCCTCAGGGTTTTTCCTTTCCACGTGGACTGAAGCACCACTACTGCATGACGGAGTTTAATGTACTCCATACGTTGCTTCCTTCCAGCAGTCAATGCTCTTAGGTGTTGTTGAATGACTAATGTTGCTGTTTTTAACAATCTAAACTGCCTCTGGGCCTTGATCATTCTAAAAACAGACTGAATTTTGACTGCAGCTTGATGTTCCTTCTGGATCTGCTTCCGGACTTTCCAGCCACGATAGGCCGACTGGAGGGAAATCACAGCTGCCCTTGTCTTTAGAAAATCTCTTCTCATATCACCAACAATCTTGTGCACCCTGTACCACCTCTGAATCTTCACAGTAGACTGAAGCACAGAGTGATATTTCATCCTTTTACTGTAGCCTCTAAAAGCAGTTTGAATTTTAAGAGCAGCTATGGATTGTTGTTTGATTATTTGGCGTACTTTATAACCTCTGTAAGCTGCTTGCAAGCAGGTAGCTGCTCTTTTGACTTGCAGGAAGTTCTTCCTCTGATTGACTTGTGCTTTGTATGCACGATAGTAATTCTGAATGACAGTAATTGCTTTATAAGTTTTCAGGTAGTGCTGCCGCATCTTTCTCATTCTGAAATAAGACTGTAGTGAAATAGCAGCTTTCCTTTGCAACCTCATCTGCTTTCGGACCAGGTATCCTCTAAAAAAAGCCTGCAGTGTGATACAAGATTCACGCATCTGCAAATATTCTTTTCTTTTCCGTGCAGCCATTTTTTGAGAGCGGTACCATTGCTGGATAAACAGTGCAGCTTCTCTTAAGCACAAATATTGTCTACGCACTTGTCTCATCCTGACAATTGACTGAAATTTTATTGTACAACTTTTTAGGCTCAGAAATTTCTTCCTGGAAGTATAAGCACGATAATATGACTGAATCTTTATAACAGATGTGAGGATATGATGAAACATTTTCCTGGCCTGCATCCCTCTATATGCAGACTGTAGAACAATGACAGCAGATCGTGTTTTCTGATAAGATGCTAGAACTTCCCTGGCTGAAATGTAAGCTTGGAAATGAGTCTGAATTATAATGGCTGCTTTTTTCATCTTCTTATATTTCTGTAATTGCTGATGTTTTCTTACGTGCGCTTGCAGTTTGATAACACTTTTCTTAAGGCTTAAAAATTGAAATTTGTCCCGCCTCATTCTCCAATACGACTGCAAAACACAAGCAGCTCTAATCTGTCTTTGCAAATTATGAGCTTTCATTCTCCTGAAAGCAGCCTGCAGTCGAATGGCTGCTGCTCGTTTTTGCAAATAATTGGTACGCTCCATCTTTCCTTTCAGATATGCTCTGTAGTACTTCTGGATTGTCAGGATAGACTCTCTCTTTCTTTTGTATAATTTTTGGGCTTGATGGCATCGAAATCTTCTCTGAATGATAACAACACACGATTTAATATAAATATATTTTTGTAGTTCCTTATGCATTCTATACCATGACTGTATGACAATAGCAGACTTTTCTTTAGCTTTTCTGAAATGCCATTCTCTAAAAGCTCTTTGTAGTATGATCACAGCCTTTGTTTGTAATTGCATTTTATGTTGCTTCCATCTTCTGAACCTAGACTGGATTATAAGCACCGATGATTTTAGTATTTCATATCTTTCTTGATCTTTTTTTCTTCTTAAATAAGCACGCCAATGTCTCTGAATTGTAACTGTGGCCCAACGACACCGTTTATAAGATGTAACAGCAATTATCATTCTTATCCTAGATTGCAAGATGACTGAATAATACTTCAATTTCAGAAATCTTTTTCTAGTGCAATATCTTCTCCAATATCCCTGAGAAAAGATAAAAAAAAAAGTAAAACAGACACAGCTTTCTCTACTTAACACTTTTGAAAATAATCAATTCTTCTAACATTCTGCTATAAAAAACACATTAAATTTTAAGCCAATATATTTTTGCTAGACATTTTGTTGTAGTTGCTTTTACATTAACACAGCTGTAGCCAATTCAGAAATCCATCACAATCCTAATTATATTTACACTGTATTTCTATCATAGTCATAAGAAATATAAGAAAACTTATGCACTACTAGAAGCAAAAGATTCAAAAGAAAAATACAGTAATATTCTTGGTTATTTACTGATTCTAAGTAATTTCCTATGAGCTTCTGGATCTTATGTGGTCTCCTTATTTCATGGGTATATAAACAAACAGTTCATATAAGGCACCCTTTACTCTCACATTATAGTCCTGATAAAATGAGCATAGCTGTATCATGGGCTCCTCATCCATGGATTCAAACAACTGATGATCAAAAATGTTCCAAAATCCAAGAAGAAAAGAAAAATGTGTACTAAACATGTACAGGCTTTTTCTTATCATTATTTCCCAAACAACAAAGTGTAACAGCTATTTATATAGTCCGTACTGAGATTTTGTAAGGTATTATAAGTAGTCTAAAGATGGTTTAAAGTATACAGGAAGATATGGGTGTACATAGGTTATATGCAAATACTATGGCTTTTGTTTAAGGAACTTAAACATGCACAGATTTTGTTATCTTTTGGGGTCCTGGAACTAATCCCTGATGGATACCAAGGAATGACTATATAGGAGTCTAAGAAGTACATGAGTTAAATCACTTCGATAGTTATTATTTTCATTAAGAATAAAATTACTTCTTCAGATTTAGTATACATACTTTAAAAGCAGAATGGAAAGATTTGACAAAGTAAAAACCTTTTGTCTCTTAAAAAGTGAGTTATAATCTAAGCTAACAGTATGCAGACTCAACAAATAGGGCTGCCAAGTCTAAGCTGATTCCAGCTGATGCTATGTAAATGACCTTAGACTACTGGTGATCAAGCTGTAGATATTTTTTTGGGAGGTACTGGGGATCAAACTCAGGACCTTGCACTTGCGAGGCAGGCATGGCACCACTGAACTAAATCCCGGTGAAGCTCTTTTTGTAACAACCTTATCTGAAATACTCCAAACATTGCTAAGATGGGAGCAAGGGATTTTTTTTCTTCCTTCTACATCTACAATTTTTTCTTACATATAAGTGGAGTAGTTTAGGACTGAGTACCTCCCTCTCCTACAGCACTGCCCATTGTGCCTGCAGCTATGCTTGGTCTAGACACAATTATCCAAGGGTGAGGAGAGTCAGGGAGAACAGTGGCAACTGGCCTTTCCTGTAAGTTTCATTACTTTCCCTCTTAGTGCCACATGAGGTTTTGGTCTTAGTCTTTAGGACTAAGAAGAATGAGGTATACGTATATCATATTATTTTTCTTACTATGAAGAGATGTGTGAGTAATTATAACATATAACTAAGTGGAATCAAGATTATTTGTGCAAACTGACTTTGAAAACTATAAACTCTTCATAAATGTAAGGTATTAGTAAGATGCCTAACAGAAATAAGGCAAAGTAAAATGAAAATAGTAGCCAGAGAGGTGGATATCATTTTTTCCTCCAACTTCAAGATATTTGTTTATAAAACCCTCAAATTAAGAAATTGCAGTCAGTGTGAACAGCTTATTTTAAATTACTATCACTAGTCTGTTACTGAAATGTTAACAATTTTTGTATAACATGGAAGATACGTTCATTTCTTCTCCTAACAACTCTGCTTATTACAATAACAATTTTATCAGCACTGTGATATATTTAAAATAAACAGCTCTTTGGAGTACAGCATATAGCTTTTTCAACTAAATGTCATAAGTTAGCATTCTTTATTCACTTATAAAAGGCATGCTTATGTTATAAAAGGTTTGCCATAGTTATACTGCATATAACTAAAATTGAAAGGAGGACCTAGATTTTAACCAAAAAATCCTGACATAATAAGCAAATATAGTAAATTTGTAGGCTACAACATCATTCATCATTCATCATTAGTATCAAAAAAGTGAAATACTACATATTTAGTTAAAAAATATGTAAAAGATGTGTAGGAAAAAAAATTTTAAAACTCTGATGAAAGATATCAGAGTTTAGAAGATCTAAATAGTAGATATACCATGTTCACGTACAAGAACTCTCAATATTAAGATGTCAATTTTTCCCATTTGATTTAATACAATCTGCCCTAATCCTACCTTTTATTTTTAATATCAGCAAATTGATTCTATTACTTAGAGTGAAAGACCTAAAATAGCCAAAGTAATTTTGATCAACAAAGTTAGAGGACTAATACTACACAAAGTTAAGATTTATTATTTAAAAAGTACTGTAATCAAGACACTGCAGAACTGGCAAAAGAACAACAAATAAATCAGTGAAATAAAGAGCCCAGATACTGAGATTTGTCAAAGGAACAAAGATAATTACTGAGAAAGAACATTATTTTAAGATATGGTGCTAAAACATCCATACGCAAAAACAAAAATCAATTTCTTACCTTTCACAAAAACGAACTAAATTGAACAATAGATCTAAATGTAAAATACAAAAGTGTAAAACTTCTGAAAGATGCTAGGCATCGTGGCACATCTCCGTAATCACACAGCACTCTGGCAGGCTGAAGCGAATCATCAGTTACCCCAGCCTGGGTAACTGTCTCAAAATAAAAAATAAAAAAGTAGGGGCCGGGGATTTACCTAGTGGTTCTGCCACCTGCCTCACAAGCACAAGGTCTCCGGTGCCAAAAAAACCCCCAAACAACAAAAACAAAACCTGGGGATATAGCTTCTGAAAGATAACAGTAAAAACTCTAAGTGCTTTTGGGTTTGGAATGACTTCTTAGATATAATACCAAAGAAGCTATATCTGTGAAAGAAACTTAACCAGCTAGATTTCATTAAAATTAAAAAGGTCTGCTCTGTAAAAGACACAGAATAGCCAACATAAACATTAAAAAGATTAAAAAAGAATGAAGACAGCCATAGACTGGAGAAAGTATTTATAAAATGTATATCTAATAAAACAATTCTTAAAACTCAATTGTAAAAACTCAAAGAACCTAATTTAAAAGTGGTCAAAAGATACAAGCAGACACCATACACAGAATGAATAAGCATATGAAAAGATGTTTAACATCACCCGCCCTTGGGAATTGCAAACTGAGATGGCAGTGTGGTCCACCACACATGCGCTGGAATCTCTAAAGCCAAATCACTGCAGCTTCAAATGCTGGGAAGCAACAGGAGCTCCTGTTCATTGCAGGTGGAAATGCAAAATGCTACAGCAACTTTCATAGACAGTCTGGCAGTTTCTTAGAAAGCAAAGAAAAAAAACAGTCTTGCAACCCAACAATCACACTCCCACATACCTGTGCAAAGTAGCTAAAAGTCCATGCAAAAATCTACACACAAGTATTGACTCAAGCTTTAAATTCATAATTTCCAGAAATTAAAAGCAACTGAGATATCCCTTAATGAATAAAAAGTTGAAGCACATCAATACAATGAAATATTATTTACTGATTTTAAAAATAGGTTATCATTTTTTGCCAAGAAAAGACATACAACTTTAAAAACATATTGCTAACTGAAAGTAGCCAACCTAAAAAGTTTACATATCGTATGATCCTAACTATATAACATTTAGGAAAAACAAAACTATATAGTGGAAAGAGCAGTAATTTCCAGGAGTCAGGGGAAGAGTTGAAGAAGAGAAGAATAAATAGGTAGAACACAGGACTTTTAGGGCAATAAAACTATCCAGTATGCTAACATAATGGTAGATACATGTGTTTAACCCACCGAACAACACAACACAAAAAAGGAAATCCTCATGTAAACTATACATTTTAGAATCCTGGCTTTCAATTTAGAGTTTAAAAATGTATTGCCAAAATAAAAAAGAACAGAGCCCAGAAACCTGTGGGCCAAAGAGAGGAGGAAGAGAATGGTGCAAAACTTTCTTGAAGACATACACAATGGCTCAAGTCCTCCCAAATGTAATATAAGATCATACACTCAAAAATTTCAATGAACTTTAAGCAAAATAAACACAAAGATATCCACGGTCAGACACAATATACTCAAGCTGCTAAGCACTAATGACAAACACAAATTCTTAAAAAGTAGCCAGACATATAACTTATGAAAATAATTTGAATGACAAGGTTTCAACAACCATGAAGAACAGAGAGAAGAGATGAAGCAAATTTCCTATGATGAATGTTATCATTATGTAGCCTAAAATGCACCAATAAATGCTTCACTATTACAAAAAAATGAATAAATGTGAAATAAGTCATTTTTGAGGAAACGAAAACTAAGTGAATTTGTAACATCAGATATAAAAACAAATCAGCAGAAATGCAAACCATATATAAATAAATATACTAAAATAAATATACTAAAATATTCTCATGTATAAAAAAAGATAAAATAAAGATGATAGGAGTAGGGGCTACATAAAGGGACCTAGATAGTGGTAAGTTTTTCACATCACATTTAAAGTGATAAAATACTGATTCACAGGGGATAAAAAGCTATGTGTACTATAACTCCTACAGCAATCACTAAAAATTGTATATAATGAAAAAGAAAATGAACTGAAATGAAATACTAAAATGTATTCAAATCATTAAAACAACAGAAGAAAGGAAAAAGAAAAATAAAGGACAGGTAACACTCAGAAAACAAAAAATAAAATAATAGACTTAAAACATATCTACACTTGAAGTATGAATGGTCTAAAACAATAATTAAAAGACATTTTCAGGGCTGGAGATATAGCTCAGTAGGAGAGCACCTGTCTAGCATATATGAAGCCCTGGGCTCAATCCCAGCACTGAAGGAAAAAAAAAAAAAACAACAAACAAAAAACGCAAATTAAAACTGCATGCTATCTACTAAAAAAAGTTACTTCATA